TGTTTTTTGTGATAAGAAAGAAAAATTATTAAAGAAAGCTCTCCTCATATTTCTTTCCTGAACTGCCATCCATTTCCAGTAGTGAATTGGCTCCTGTCTCTTTGGTAAGGTACAGATGTGTTTTCAGCATCTCTGGTCTTTCTCCTCCACTTTCCCTGCCACTCTGTCTCTCCAGCTGGGTGTGGGGTGACACCAGTGTCCCTGGAAGGCAGTCATTAACTGGCTGGTGTGTAGCCTGAGCAAAGCTGTATAGGCTTCTCCCAGGCAGCAATAACTTGGTCCAGGCCAAGGCCAGGCTTGCTCCAGTCCTGACTGGCTGAGTCCCCTCAGAGGACCAGGCTGGCAAGAGCCCTCCTTTCAACATGAGTGTGAGCAAAGAGCTTTGGCACTAGTACGAACTCTTCCTTTGTGATTTGTGTAATTTATTTCACTCTTTCTGTGAGCTAAAAGGACTTTTCATGCTTTTGCCCTCTCTCCACCAAGTTCTTCTCTGCTTCTGGTGGAGCATCCAAGTCTAACATGCAGCTCTTGGTGGCTGCACTGCTGTGACGTGACTCTTGCAAGTGTCTTCACTCAAGAGAGCCATCAAATTTGGAGAGCAAGTCAGACTTGAGGAACGTCATCTGAAACCCAAAGTAGTTTGTCCATCGGAGGGTGGGGGGTGAACCCATGATGTTTGTGATGGCATGTCCCTGTCCTCTGGGTCGCTGTGAGTGCACAGTGTGGAGAAAAACCCAAATACCCTTGGTTTAGATGTGTGGCGATGAGACTGCCCTCCCGTGTGTTTCCAAGGAGAAGAGAGGAGCCAGGCAGGAAGGGTGATGTAGCTCTGTCTGATGCAGCTGGCTGTTTGAAATAAATATGCAGAGAGTCCTTTGGAAGAGGTGAGCTGTGTTGAAGGGAGAGTTTGGACTTCATGAAAAGCATTAAAAATTCAAAGCGGAGTTGTTGGCAGGTGATGGCCGTTGAAGTAGAACAAAAGAATGAGCAGAAGCCTGGCAGAGGAGTCTAGGGTAGTGAAATGATGATAATTATTTCTTGATTTCTTGAAGGAAGTTAACAAGGCACAGGAGAGGGTGAATGTAAGAGGTGGGGTTTGAGAGACGTGTCACAGCTCTGTGGGCATGGGATGTCAGGTGTCAAGGAGAAAACACTCTGGATGAGCCTGTGAAGGACTGGAAGAGGTTGCAGAGCAGGGTCCATCTCCGTTCACACTGTTAGTCTTTACCATTGTGCTGCGTAGCCGTGTTTGCAAGGTGGGCCTTGGTTTGGTGGGGGGCACTATGAATTAAATTTGACATTTTAAATGTTAAATGGGTTGAAATTCCCTGGGAATGAGCATGTGTGTTGCCCCATCAGGAGGATCTCTAGGGATGCAGGGGCAGCTGTGTGCATAGGCCATGTATCTGTGATACCACGCCGTTCACCAGGAGCACAAAGGTCAAAGAAACTCAAGAAAAAATATTTAGTAAGGGACTTTGGAGGCCTGTGAGGAATTCTGGAGCGTCCAAAGTTTGGGATTTTATGCAATTCCTGCAATGAGTGCTTCCTGTCTGTCTGCTTCCTGTCCCCACAAACAAGTGCTCTGTAATTTATTCCTGAGCTGTTAGTGGCATATTGGGAACATGGAGATGTGTTGCTCTGTCCACCCTGAAAGGAGTATAACAAGCAACTATTTCAGGCTGGGATTTTCCAAGGGTGACTCCAAGGTGTTTTCAGCCAGATTGCTCTTTTCATAACTTTCTAGTTCTGAAATTATTTCAGTTTTTAATGGGGAAAAAAATTTTAAAACAGAAAAGTGAAACTTCCATAAAACGAGTTTGACTTCTGGGTTTGCAGGAGGAAATAAGAATTGTTTCTCCATCTGGGTACTCTCTCTGAGATGTTTAGGGCAGGCCAGCCTGGCTTCTGTCTTCTTTCAGTCCCCCAGATATTAGGAGTTGGTGGAGCAGCCCAAATTGCAGGCACTTCAGGCTGGCAGCATTCCTGCTAGCACTTGCCGTGCTAGGATTGCTCCCCAGTCCTGCTGCAAGGTTTCAAAGCATCAAACTTTAAATGACTTTAGCCAGAGAGTTTCAACACTCTGCAAATATAGGCAGTGCAGTTATTACTCTTTTTTTACCTTTTTTTTTTTTAACAATTTAAAACAAACCAAACGAAACTTCCATTGGTTTCCTGCAAATGTATGGGTGTTGTTTCTGGTATGGGGGGTTTTTTTGTGGTGGTTTTTTTTTTCTTCCTTTTTTTTCCTTCTTTTTTTCTTTTTTTCTTTTTTTTTTGGCAATTGGGTGACCTATGAAATACCAAAAGTGGCACAAAACGTTTATCCAGCGACAGCCTGAGGTAGCACAGGCAGCTCTTAGTAGGTTTATTTTCATTATTACAGCAATTTTAGGGCTGCATGCTGCAATTTTCACTTGCAGTGAGGTATTAAATTGAAATTACCCCAGATGTAATTGTCACACAAAATAATTCTGGACATGCTGGATTTAATGCTTTTCCAAGCTGTGGTTTTTATTACCCAAGTAAGTGCCAAAAAAACACTTGTAGTCAACAACTTAAGCTGAAATCTGCCTTCTGGGGAGCCAGGATATTTCGCTGCAGTTATACTGGCGGAGGAAGGAAAAAAAAAGGGACCAACTGGAGGAAACTTTGGGAGGGCTCCTGAAAGAATAGCCCAGGGGTAAAATATTGGGCAAGGGCAGAGTCAGGGCCACAAAGGAACCACAGAGGAGGGGCGCTGGCAGATGCAGCAGCTCAGCCTAACACTTTTCGGGCTGGTGTCTGGAGAGGCAAGTCCCAGCTGTGATGTAGTACTGGCCACAGAGACAAAGCGAGGCAGGGGTGCTGCCAGGTCCCTGCCTGCTCCACAGCAGCAGCACAGTCGCTGGTCCCTTTGGGATGCAACGAGTCTCGTTAAACAGAAGCCAGGGATGGGTTGCAGCACCAGTGACCGAGCTCTGGAGGTGCTCATAGGAGACGTCTCAGCCTTTCCCAGATGCACGTTGTCTAGTGCGGCCAATCTGGTGCACAGACATCTGGAGTTGTAGAAGCAAGTTGTGGCGCACGAGGAGCCTTCATCGGGCTGCTGGAGCGCTCAGCCAGGGTTGCAATATTCCCAGCACTCCCACTGGTGGGTGGTACAGCCCGCACACGCTGCTGCTTTATTTATTAGCTCCTTAGCTGTTGTAATAACATAAGTAAAGTATTGATGACTTTATGTTTTCCACCCTCTTTCATTCTTTTCCAGAAATAGCTTCCCTTGTTTGCTCCACAGAACCCCGCTGGAAGTGGGTGGAAGGACACGCATCTGGGAACAGTGTATAAATAGCACAGGGAGAGGCAGTTGCCACAGTCTGTCCCTGGAGCTCCGCAAAGCAAGCGAGGGCTGAGCCTGAGCATGGCAAAACAGGAGCTGAACAGCCACTTCTTTCTCATCACATCAGTTTGGGAAGGCTCAGCTGGAGCTGGTTACTGGATAATGCACGGGGCTGCAGTGACCCAGGGGAGCAGCTCAGGGCATGACCCAGTGCTGTTTCATAATTCAGAAACCCTCTGTTTTCAGCATCCCTGAGATGTAATTTTGATGAATGAGGGTGTTGTCACACAGGGCAATGTTACTGAACTTTCTCCTGCATATGGAATAGCTGTGCAACTTTGGCATCCTTTGGGGATGTACCTAGAATTAGAATTGGCTTGATTGTGAATTTCTGGCTAAAACAATGAGAAAACTGCTTTTGGTCAGGTTGAAGCAGGATTTGGAAATGGTTTTGAGTGAAACAATGAGAGAAAACAGCAAGTGATACAGCGTAATCTTGGAAATATTTTGTCCCATTCAAGATATCATTTTTTTCTTATCTTTGGAATTGTTTCACCTGTTGCACACTCTTTTTTCCTTTAATTTAGTTCACTTTGTAGATAATTGGAAATGCAATTTCAAAATTAAAAATTTTGAAGACGGAAAATCTCGTCAAAAATAATATCTCAAGCATTTTGGCTCTTCACACGTGCAACATAACCATGTTCAATAGCATAAACCAGTAATATCTGGCTACTCTTACCTGCTTTCTCCTCTCCATCCCTAGCTTAGTTTACCCATCTGTTTTTACTTCACCTTGCAGATACTATGCTCCAGAACTTGGTGGGAGCAGACTAATAGAGGTTGCTCAGTCCTTTTTTTCTGCTTGATTTGAGGATGGTAGTGGTAGCACCTGGGCAGTGACACAGCAGCAGGTGATTGGCATGTGGATGTGAAGGGACATAATGGCTGTGATGGAGGGCTCCTCAGGCTGGGTACGGGTTCCTGTTGTGTCATCACAGGGACTGATAGGGACCTGGAAAGAGCATCATAGATGTAAGAGGTGTATCTGGATTTTCTGAGCAAGGAATATGTTGGTGTCGGTCTATAAAAGCCGCAAATGTAATCAGCTAAAGGTCAAAGTAATTACTGAGTCTGTGACATTTCCTCCTGGGAAGGAGGCAGCAGGGGCCGTGGTCACAGTTGTGGGTTTGGAAAGTTTTAAATCCCAATCTTCCCTGTAGTTTGGTTATGCCATTAAGGCAGAGTGAATAAGGAAACAATCAATTTAGAAACAGGACTTGGCTTACCTTGCAACCAGCTGGTGGAAATTGCTGCCTCGGGAGGTTGGGAGTGAGGTGGCTTGGAGCTGGAGTTGCAAGGATGCTCTTACCTCTGCTGGTGCCACCAGCTGGGTGGGTGTGAGAGTGCTAGCTGAGAAACACTGGTTAGAGGAAAGGGCTGCCCACTGGGCATCCCTTCTCATCCCTTCCTATCAATGACAGTTAAGTTCTTTGCTGCTTTAATCCTCAGTGACTTACTTGGCATTTTCGAGATTCAGACAGAAAAGCTCTTATTTATTTATTTGTAATAGTGGCTGGTGGACCATTTACTGATGGACTCTGCTGTCTATGTAAATTAAGTAAGCTCTCACTTTGAATTCCAGTACCTGAATGGCCTTTTCTTCTCTCTCCTTCCCCAGGTGTACAACTTTGCACTATGACCAGGACCTCCCACCAACCAGTGTCATCATCACCTTCCACAACGAGGCCAGGTCAACCCTGCTAAGGACAATTCGGAGGTAAGAACTCTGGTGATCTCTTAAAAAATAGTGAGTGAGCTAGAGGTTTTCATGAATAAAGGCAGAATCTGTTTGCACTCACCGTAGCAATGGGACCAGCTGTGGTCTCAAATGATGTCCGGGAGAAATTAGAGTGAAAGTTGGTCTTAGAGAAGTAGCTTTTACAGTGGGATGCTCAGGAAAGTAAGGAGCTGTGCCCCCTTTGCAGGGTCTAGCACGGGAAGCACCTGGGGGAGCATTAGCAGATTAGACAAAGTCTGGGATAAGAGCTTTTATATCCAGCTGGGTATCAGAGCTCAGCTGTATTTTCTCCCAGTCCTCTAGGGACGGCTATCATTCTACAGATATTTTCTCTGGTAGTGCTGTTTGAGCTTCTCCAGTGAGCCATCGAGTGCCAGAAAGGCTTGCTAATTGAGAAGCCCTAATGGCACACACGCAGACTAGGTTTTCAAAGACGGTTTCTGTGCTCCTGCGGGTACATGGTGGAGCGCTCTGGGCATGTGGCCATTCCTTCATTTGTTGGTTTGTTCTTGGCTGTGTTTTGCTGTAGTAAATAGACTAAAGGCTTCATTTTCACTGCAGGTTTTTCAAATCAGTTTTTAATCCCAATATGTGCCTTGAATCTGCAAGTTCTCTTGTGGGAAGAACTGGTGAGGTGTGCCCACCGCACCTTCGAGGGGTCTGTCTCCAGGTCTAGGCTGGTGGGTTCCTCTGTAGCAAGCTTGGATGCACTCTGATCTGTGCCAATAGTAAGTGTATTGCAGCTGCATCTCGTGCCCACATTGTAAAGATTTGTGCCCTGCTGCAAGTCTTGTCTTTTAAACTCTGGCATCCCCAGGGACCCCTTGCTATCATTGGTACTGGTCAGACTGGGGTTGCTGGTTACAGGGAGGCTTCAGTCATTCCCTGTTCACTATCACATCCTTGCTGAACTTTTCTCTGAAAACAGCATCCTTCCTCAGGTGAGCACACTCAGGGCCACAAATGAGTTTGACAGTCCTGAAATTGAATTCCTTCTTTGCTTTATGGTTTTGTGCCCAATCCCATCTCCTTCTTTCACACTTAATAATCTGTCACTGCTTTCTCTCTCTAGGATGTGTGGATTTTGGGTGATACTGACACTTGGTGCTCTGTGCCACCTCCTTGATCTTGAACCTTCTCTTTTGTCTTTACAGTGCCTTGCATAAATTTGCCATTCTCCAAAACCAATTGTAACAGAGATTGCAGGTGCAGTCCTCTGGCCCCCACTGAGATATAGGAAGCTTTAAGTACAGGGATGGACTTTGATCTCATTTCTCCTCATAACTCAGCACTTGACTGTCCTGCCAGGTACGATCACGAGTAATGTTGTCACATGGAAAATGTTAGATGCATAATACAGCTCTTATACCTGGATCCCCCATATCTGGCTTCATTAGAGAACTGTTCATTGCAGTGATGGCAAGGTTAGAAATACAGATAGATTGAATTTTTCCTTCTTCTAGGTTATTGTTTTCTGAAGTTTCTGATTTCCAGCTATAAAATTACTTTCTTCCTTGTTCCTCTTATTTTGTTTGCTTAACTTGATTAGTTGGCTTCACTGCCTTCCTTACCCGGCTGTGTGTGATTTCCACCACAGTTTTGCCCATGTGCACTGCTCCTTCTTGCTTATGTGCCCTGGCAATTCCAGCACTCCTGTTTGTCTGGAGAGTTTTTCCCCAATTCTGGGGCCCCTTCTGAGCCCTGTTTCTCTAAGGTTGATCTCCAAACAATGCCAGAGCTCCACGGAGCATTCCACTGAGCTGCACCACAGAGACAAGCCCAGGCAGTGAGGAACTGAGACGACAGCCTTGGGTTCCACATCTTCTCTGCCTCCCCCTGGGCTGAGATCCTCAGCTGACCCTCCTTTTTCTGGTCCCCATGGCTTGGAGGTGGCCTCTTGACATCAGGGTTTACTGTTTTCCTCCTGGATGCAGTGCACAGGGACTTGCTTTCATCCAACCAATGCTAGAGATACCAGCCCTGGGTGGCAAGTTGTGCTGGTGACATGGCTCCTGTTCTGCTCCTCTCTGGTGGCTACTGGGCACATATTACCACCTCTCTGCCTCCTTTTGAACCCAGCTGAGAGCTCATCTGCCTCTTTAGCCTCTGTAGGTTAATTTGCTGTGCCTTCTGACTGCTTGGGTTTTTTCCCCTCTTGCTCAGCAAATACTTAGCTTAATTAGATCTTCCAGATAACTCCATCCCACAGTGGCTGTAACAACATGGATCATTTTCCATGGCCATTCAAAACAAACTCTGTCCTCCTGACAGTGTTTTGTGCCTTTTGGGACAGTCTGTGGCCAAGTGCTTTAAGTTTAGTGGTGAGTAAATTGGCCACTTGTTCTGCCCTATTCTCCCTAGTACAACTCCATGGTGCACTCTTGGGATAACCCAGGTGGACAGACTGAGAAACAGATCTGGCTGTGGCTGGTAGAAGATTTTGAATTGCAAACCTGGTTTTTCTGAGTTCCAGTATACTGGATTTTCCAACCTTGTCGCAGAAACAATGTTTTCAGTTAATTACCATAGCAGGAGCAAGAAACAAGGCAAAGGGACATTGCTTGGCTTGTCCAAAGCCGTGATACCATAGGGCACCATCCCTGAAAAGGAGATGCTTCCTACAGGACTCCATGTAAACACAGAGGAGTGGGAGAGGGAAATACTGGTAAAGGCACCATCTATCGGGGGACGAAATGACCTCTTGCAGAAGAGACTACGTACATGATGAGCAGGAAGGATTTTGCTATTCCTGTGATTTTCCTGGGTGCTTGAGAGCTTTAATGTTTCCTGAGTGTTGAGGCTGAGCTGTGTGGCAGGCTCAGTTTGTTTCATGTGGCTCTTGGTAGGGATGTGAGTGCTCTGACCTGTGAAGCAGAGGCAGCAACACGTGGCCTCCACAGCACCCCTTACGCAAGTCACGTTGTGAGTGTTTGGGACGGTTCGTTTATGAACATTTTGCACTGTCAGAGCTATTGGGAAAAGCTAGTGGACTGTGTTGAATAATGAATTCATTTAAAAGTTTCATGATCTTTGACCATTTGCCAGCTGGAAGTAAAGCAGGGGGGGAAAAAAAAAAAAGAGGCCAAATTAATCGAATGCCCAAATGTCTGCAAATGGTGTGGTCAGCATTTATAAATGCATGTGGTGCAACTATGCTTGTGAATACATACAGCTGCCCAGGTAGTAGGGGATGGCTGTCGTGAGAAAGGCAAATAGAAAAGGAGAGAAGAGGCCAGAAAGGAGGAGATGGTGAATAGCAAAGCAGCTCCTGAGATTTTTTAGTATTTTTTTTAAACTGTACAGACGGGAGAAAGTACCATTGGGTTGTTTCAACTGCTCACTTTTTGAATGACCTTGAACAAGTCCCTTATCCCTCTGTGGTTCAGCTTCAAGCTCCAAGACTCAGTGCCTTAAAGATGGTGAGAGTCTCCAACAGTATGGGGATGGGACCGTGTAAGTAAACCCAACATGGGAAGGAAGCAGCAAGGGAGAAATTAAGCAATACAGAGGCATTTATAATTAAAAAAGAAAAACAAAACAAGCAATTTCTTCTTTTCTGTCTTTCCATCCTATACTAGCCTGCATTTAGCAAGGGAATCTTAATCCTGTTGTGTGGGTGACCTGCCGGGCAGAGAGGGAGACAGTCCCGTTTACTCTGCTGAGTGGTTTTTACTTATTTATTCTTCAAACTTGCAGCTGGGGAGCTCAGAGCAGGAATAAGGAAACTTTAATTATTTACCTCTTGCTGACAAACCAAAATACATCCTTTGGCAAAAGTCCCGATGCGAGTGCTGTGAATACCACATCAAATATTTAGGTCATTAATTAGCAGAGAGAATATCATGCCTTTTATTTTCCAGTGCTTATAAGTAAGAGAAGTGATGTCCTGGGCAGCCAGCACCTCACACCTTCCTCTCATGCCACTAACTTGTCTGCATCCAGACACATCTGAGAGAGGGAGGTGACAAAGCCATGCACCTCCTTGCTTCGGCACCACATAGAGTCTGTGCCATAACTGAAATGAGCCTGATTAGAGAAGCAAAAACAAGCCAGGTGTTGCACAGACACTGTATAATTAGCACTTTGTGCTGACTATTTTTTCATTTCTTTTTTTTTTCCTGCTTTTTCCTTAAACCCTGGGCTTTTTTTTTTTTTCTTAATTTGCTAATCATCTCTTGTGGTGACTGAGTACACAGCCCTCCATGCGCTTTTACCTTTTGATGTTAACATAAGAGAACCCTTGAATTTCAAAGAGCTTGGTGGGTATTTGAAAGAATAAAATGCAAAAACCGCAGTGTAATCAAAGCTCATTATGGTTATTCTTGGTGTGATGTCTCTCTTCCCACATAATTAGCCATTTGGGGTTGTTGAAGCAGCTCATTTTGGCGGGCATTTTCTCTCCGCACTCGCGGTCTGATTTCGATAATTGTGACCCTTAGCCCTTTGTACACTTTGTTATACTCCCAGAGGTGTTTTTTTTCCCCCAACAAGTCCCAATATGTTGCCATGGAGAGAATTAATGGGTTCATGAGTTCCCGAGGATCAATGTCCACAACCATCTCTCTAAAGCAAGTGGTATTCTGGGTGATGACTGAAAATATACTGACTTTTGGTCAGAAGGTCTAAGCTCCTCCACGTGAACATTTTCCATGTCTTGTATGTCAGGATGACTTTTGCACTGGTATTTATTTGGAGGTGAAATTGCTAGATCCACCTCCAGGTAGGTGGAAAAGGATCCCAAATTGTTGAGGATGATGGAAGAAGGATCTTAACGATGAAAATTTAGGGTGAAAATCTCCATGGCTACATCTGCATAAGATCTGCTAAATCCATTGAAACAAAGAAAATTTCAGCATTGACTTTACAAGATAATTCAGCAGTGAATCTGGTTTTAATGTATTGAGTAAATGTAAGCACTTTCTGGACTAGAGGCATGAGTTTTCATTTCAATGGTAACAGGACTTGTGGCAATTTAAGGGAGAAAATGTTGTGATCTCTGTCTCAACAGCATATAAAAGCTGTTTCATTTGTTAAAATGTGCCCATCAATGCAGTATATACCTGCCTATGTTTGATTTCAGGGAAAGAAATCTATAAATAGCAGAGTAACTTCAAAGCACTACAATATTGTCTTCTGATTTTACCCATATAAAAGGGGAAAAAAAGCCATGCACAGACATAAAGAAAAGAAAGTATTAAAAAAAAAAAATCAAAGCTAAGCAGAGGCAAAAGTAATAGAAAAACCGGCTTTGAATTTTTAGAAGTGCTTTTGTAGTCTGTCTGAAAAAAAATCCCCGTGACGTTGAAAATGTGCAGGATTTGGTGCCTCCATTTCCCATCCTCCCCAAGGAGTGCTGCAGGAGGGGTGTTTTTAGTCTTCTGTGTTTCCAACATCGTGTGCATTATCATGTGATTAATAGAGCACAGGCAGAAAATGTGTTTGAGGTGTGGATGTGGCTCTGCTGGAAAGCCAGCATGCTTGCTCTTGGCTGAGTAGGGAAGTGGGCTATGGTTGTGGTGTTGCAGCCTTTAGATCTCTTTGTGCCTGCATCAAGGGGCCTTTAGCTTAGCAGCAGTTTTTGGGCTTGCTGGGGTCTGTGCACAGACTTGTAAGGGCAATAATGAGCTCAAAGAGTGCTGAAATCAGTGAACATCAGGTCCCTTAGAGCCAGCCTTTGGACCACCCTCACCAGGGTGAGGGTGAGTTGTTCACTGGAGTTTTGGAAAGGTGTCATGTGGTAAGGGAGGCCCACAAGAGATTTGATGGGAGAGGGCTGTGATGATACAGGATGAGGGGATGTTGTGTCACCCACAGTGGTGTCTGTCAGTAACCCCATGGAAGGATGAGAGTTTATGGAGCCAGAGCAGTCCTTGCAGACGTTCTTCCCTTGTAGGTTGGCATGCTGGCTAAATTTTCCCTCCCCCTCTGGTCAACACTCTGCATCCCAGAGACGGCCATTGCTGGCATTCAGGGGACATGTTCCATGATCTATGGAACATGGCAAGTCCTGGCATAGAGTTGGCAGCAAGTTCCTTAACCTGGGAACAGAAGGAGCAGCAGAGCAGAGGCGGGGCTACGCATCTTCCCGACCCAGCGCCATGGGAATTTTCATGCTGGATTTTCTTCCGTAAGAGCTGCCTCGGAGGTAATTCCTCCAAAGGCATTGAGTACCACTTAGAGCCCCGGTCTGAGTCTCCACAGCCAAGTGCCACGGTTTTGGTTGAGTTATTCTGGCTGGTACCAGCAAAAGCAAGAATCAGCCCCTTCGTGTCCGCCTTCCCCTAGAGCGAAGCCCTGCATTGCACTTCGGGCTGCCGAATCCGTAGGGGAGACTAGGCAGAGGCGGGATTTGCATGTTCAAGTTGCCCGCTGCCTCCTCCCCTCCCGCTCTCCATGGGTTATTTATTTATTTTGCTAGCTTTTTTACAAGCCTGCTTCTTTCCTGCAGGTTTCACTGAGTTAGGTTTCCAGGCAATCAGCGCTTGTTAAATATTCCACTGAGCGTGATATTGCTCTCCTGTCTCTCTCTACTGACGCTCGGCTGCGGTAATTTGCTGAACTCAGCTCTCGCGTGTGGGGATTTTTAAAAAATAACAAACCTATTAATAATAATAATTAAAAAACACTTGACAGGTGGAAACAGCACATCTAAATTGTTCTGTGTGCCCCAGCGGGAGGAGGGGCGCTCAGGCACTTTTTCCTAGTAACAGGCTCCAGATGTTGGTGAGGCGGTGTTGTCTAACTCTGCTTGGTACAAGCCACAGTGTTGTCAGGGTGGCCACAGCTACTGTTGCGTAGGGGATGGCACCTTTTATTCCCTTCCCACTCCGACATTAACGTGCAAGGCATCTGAAGTGGGAGAAAACAATGGTTTTTGCTAAGATCCTGAAACTGGAAGAGTTTGTGTTTCCAGGGAAAGTCATTCTTGGACGTGATTTTTGAGGACCTCCACAAGGGAGGTGCCAGGCTTACCCACTCCAGTCTGATATGAAACCCCTTTTTTTCAGGATTTCTGCTGAGGGAAAAAAACCCCAAAACCAACATGCAGGGAGCATCCATTATATATGGAAGAAATTCTTTACTTTGAGGGTGGTGAGGCACAGAGAATTGGTAGATGCCCATTTACTGGACGTGTTCAAGACTAGATTGGATGGGGCATCGAGTACTCTGGTTTAGTGGAAGGCATCCCTTCCCATGACAGTGGGGTTGTAACTAGATGATCTTTAAGGTCTCTTCCAAACCAAGTCATTCTGTGATTCTATGATTCTGTTTCAAGCATCTACCTTGGGATATCCTGTACGCCTTCCAAAAAAATCCAGCTCAGTTCTCTGGAGGGTTGTATTTCCAGCACCTGGAGTGGGGGGTGGGGGATGTACACCAGTGCAGGCAGCAGACACCTGGCAAGGGCCACCCCCTGGGCAGAGTGGTCTTGTGGGTTCTCATGAAGAAGGTTTTGTCAGAGAAATGCAGCCCTTTGGTGAATGTCCTCAGATATCCAGGGGTGAGGCTGTGAGACCCTTCTACATTTTTGCCAGTGTGGCTCCCAAGCACCCATGTCCCCTGGGGATCCTGTCCTTTATAGCCCTCGTGACTGGGGTCTGGGACAGGGATGTGGTTTTTCCAGACTTCCAGACTTTTTTTTTTTTTTGCTGGAGTTTTGGGAGCCTGAGAGACTGGGAAAACCTGTTAATGAGGATCTGCAGGGATCAGGGGCTTTAAGGTTGTTAGCTAGTCAGGTGACTGCCCTCTAATGCCGGTGGGAATTTTGAAGGTCTGAAATTTGGGGGGATTCTAAATCCTGTGTGAAAAAGGAACCACACTCAGGATGAAGACAAAGAAGTTTAAATGCTGGAAAAGCCTGTACAACCTAACTGGCATTATCAAAGCCCAAGCCAAGCACTTAGGAGACTTTTGGGATGTCCTGGGGTTTCTGCTTCAAGAAGTCAGCCTTGACCCTTTGCTGGGGCAGGATTTTAAGCTTGTATAATTCTGCCAAACTCTGCGCTGTGAGAGAAAGAGAAAGAACAGGTCTAGGCTTTTTAATAATAATAATAACAATACTAAAAAAACCCTTGGTGGCATAATTAAGGGAAGATTGTGGCTTTCAGCCATGTTTCACAGTGTCTGTCCACATGGAGGGAGCTGTGAACCACATCCTCCAACCTCTCTCTTTCATTAACTAGATGTGCTCCAACCCTGCTCTTATCCTCTCGGCAGCCTCTGAAACACAATCAGCTCATGGATAAAAACAGGAGTTGTCCTGCCGCAGCTGTGAGCTGTGTAAAGATGGGTTTGAGCTGGGTAATTTTCTCTGTGTTGGCCCTGCCGTTGCTGGACACCGTATCATTAGCCCCAGAGGAGGTGTTGGGGCAACAGCAGCTTTGCTGTAAGCCCAGTTAGGAATCCCAGTGCAATGTGCATGTTGCTAAAAAGCCAGTTTTTCCTGGCTTTACGTGGTGCTCTGCTTTTGCTCACAAGGGTGATAAGGGTGAATCTCAGGTATTTCCCAGGAATACTGGGCACTTGGCTCTTAGGTCAGGCTACAGGGAGTTGATAGCCAGGCACTGTAGATTACTGGGGGTGGGGTGGGGAGTGGTTTCTGGGTCTTATCTAGTATATCCTTTCTGGAAATCTGGTCTTCTGTGCTTTGGCAGAGATCAGTGCCGAAGTTTTTCCACTCCGTTTGCTGGGTTGTTAATTTGGTCAAGCACTGTCATGGATTTTCTCTCTTCATTCTTTAGTGTGCTGAACCGCACCCCAGTGCACCTCGTCCATGAAATCATACTAGTGGATGACTACAGTGACGATCGTAAGTGACCCTTTCTGTGTTAAAAGCAAGAGGCCAAACTGAAAGAGCCTGTGAGAGACTGGGATGCACACAGAGATGGGAGAGAGTTTGCTGAAGTGGAAGGAAATTCAGAGCTGTGTAGCTGTGGAGAGCAAACCCTGCTGTGCTGGGTTTGCATCGCCACGTAGAATTCAAGTTCCAAATGATCAAATCTCTTTTCATGAAAATAATACAAGAAAAGCACGCGGCAAATTGTTTTTATGCCCAATAGACATGAATCCAGTCCTTACACGTTGTATCCTACCACAGCTGTGGTGTGTCTGATCTGGCTTTCAGCTGCAGCCAGGAGCAATTCTGGGTTGATACCACTGGAATTGCAGGGAATAATGAGTCTGACCCTTTGGACCTATGTACATGTTCTGTATACATTTATGTAGGTGGTCAGCAACTCTTGATTTTTTTTCACCCATATAATGAGGATTCCCTGTGTGGGTTTCCCATTTCTGAGAGGCACCATAAATAGCACTGTGCACCACACATCCTGCCCACATCCTCCTGCTGTTCTCTCAGTTAATAGCATGACTCAAGTTAAATCGATAGGTCTGATCTCCAGTAGAAGGTAGCTGAAGCCCCAGGGATTCCCAGGGAACCACCCCAGTGCGATGCACGAATTGAAGATCCAGGTGCTGAGAGTAAGTGCTCAAAAATACTCTCTCAGGCATAAAAAGGATGATAAACCATCTGAGTGGTCTGTGACACTTACATTTGAAGGAGCTGCAAAATGTAGCCGTTTACTAGGAAACCTGAAAACAAAGCCAGACAGGTTTTTGAAAACATGAATCTAGGCTTTGCTCTCGGATGTTATAAATAGGTGCTGCCTCAGAGAGCATTAGGGACAGATTTCACACAAGACCCACTTCCTGTCATTGACACCTCCCTGGGAAGTTGCTGAAGCTAGGGGAAGGAGTTGCTGTGATTACAGAGAGCTTTGGAGTAGCTCCAGCACTCGGGGCAGGCAGACTAGACAAGTTTGGGAACCAGCAGAGGACGGCTGTGATGGGGAAAAGGAGCAGGTGCAAGGACTTGAGCTGCTCTGGAGTACAGCAGAGCAGGATTTTTGAAGGATGGAGGAAGTAGATGCCAGGTATTTGGCTAAATAAACAAAGTACTTGCCTTCCTGAAAGGAAACAGGTTTGTAGAAATGAAGCTCCCTTGTCACAGCATGCCAACTGCCATGAGCCATGGAGAACGAGCAGGGCTGGGTTTAAACTCGTCCCAGGGCACCAGAGGGGAGCATGTTTCCTGCGTAAGAGCAGCCCCTCAGCTACTCAGCACTTCTCACCTCTCTGACATCTTCTTTCCTGTGATAGTCTGAGCCTGCTGGCATCTGCTCTGCATGCATTTACATAAAATGCATGTATTTGCATAATACACTGTACACACATGGTCAGTTTTTTCCCTGCAACCCACCCCAAACAAGTGCTTTTATCTCATGCCCACTTGTGTCTCATTTCTCACCTCTCTCTGCCTGCTGGCCTTGTTATTCACTGGGATGCAGCTTTTCTGCATGTGAATTCACAGCAGAATTCCACTCTAGGTCCGTAGCCAAGCCCTGCCACTTCTACTCCCCTGTCCCAGCTCTGTCCCCGAATTGTTCAGGGTATGGGTACAGTGTGTGCAGGTGCAGGGGCTGGGCAGGGGGCATGGGGTGCGTGTGTGTGTCTTTATAGCGCCAATGAAAAGGAGGCAGAGCCATGAGAGGCGTGAAGGGGTTGTGGAAGTCACAGCATGAGGGTGCAGAGATAGAGGGAGCTGTGATGGGTGCACCTGCCTGCAGACCCAGCTCTGGCCCTGCTCTGACATCCTCCACTTTGCTGGGAGAAATCCAGGTGAAGATGGATGCTGGTGCTGCAGGCAGTGACTGCGTGTGGGATTGCAGGACCTCCCTAGCTCAAGTGTAGGTGGTTGTCAGGCCTTTCTGCCCCATAGAGCTGCTGCCCAGGGCACGAGGAGCCCCCAGCTGCTTCACAGGGCTCTCTTTGACCATCCCTTTCTCCTCACTGAAGCCTCCAGGCCACCACAGCAAGCTCCTGCCCTGCCAACCAGACGCACATCAAAGAGCTTGTGCGTTGCTTTGCAGCTACCAAAAATAGTAATTTGCAATACTGTGCAAAAAATCAGATTGTGACCCCAACCACAACTCTTCTGTGCTGATTTTAGAGCATAACTCAGCTGCTTTCAGTGTTGTCAGTCTGATGAATTTACACTAGTTTTGTGAAAACTGCTGCTCTACCAGTCAGGATTTGTGCTGCGTGAGCTGAGGGGTAAGAGTGTTGTGACCCAGTGCTGCTATCACCCTAACAAGCCATCAACCAGTCCAGGACAGGGTACTCCCTGCTCACAGTCTCCCCTAGGACTCCCCGTTTCTGCGGCCAGAGCCACCATGAGGGCTGAGGGTGACATGTCCTCCCTTTTGTGTTTCCCAAGCTGATGACTGCCGCTTGCTGGGACAGCTCCCCAAGGTGAAGTGCTTGCGGAATGGACGACGAGAAGGTAAGAGCTGCCTGCCCACAACCCAAGTGGGATACCCAGATTTCGGGAGGTGTGAGAGCGATGCAGTCAGGGGAGACCTCCATGGAGTGGCCAACAAGGGAGGTCAGCGGCTCCTGGGGACAGGAGGACCATGATAAAAGGGGATGTGATAAAGGGCTGGGATTTGAAATGGATCTCCCCTCTCTTGCTGAAAAAGATGGAACTATTAAGATATCCAGTGAGGCTCAGCTGTAGCTTATTAGCCAGAAAATTAGAACAGGCAAAACAAAGCCCCGGGTCTTATTTGTAAAGATGTTCGCTCTAATAAAAGAGAGGAGATCTGCTCCTGCTGCTTCTGTGGGATTTTTTTTTTTTTAATAATTAATTATATTTGAAAGATTAAGAAAGGCTATATGGAGGATGAATGTATGTCCTACTGGGCTGCTGCTGGCAACCTTTTGAGACATTTTCCAGCCCCCCATAGCCTGCGTCTGTGCTTTCAAATTCTGCTTTGCGGTATTAGGAGAACAAAACCCTAAGTTTTTTCATGCTGCAAATCAAAGGTGCGAGTCCAGGTGGGTGTTGGGTTGAGGAGACTGAGGAGTGGAGATTTATTGCGGTTTCTTTCTGCAGAGGGTTTCAGCTCTGCAGGTCTGGTGACAGGGTGGCAACAAATCTCATGGGTGTAAGAGACATACCTGCTTTGGCAGGAGAGTAAGGGAGGTCTCCATAGACCCTCACCTCCTTCTCATCTTTCTGTCCTGTGTGATGGAGGTACATATGTGCTTATCTCCAGCATATAGACCCGCAGGTATTGGTGCTCTGTAAATCAGTCAGAATGTGGGAAGCCAGCCTTACCTTGCTTAATACAATTACATTGCTTAATACATCACTTAAGTTGTATCCCTCAGGGCCTGCTGGGATCTGGGGAGGTTTGGAGTTGGTGCAGAACACGTAGCTACCCATGAGATCTTAGGAGTTGCAGAGAGAGATACAGTGACAATCTGTATTGTAGAAGATGACCTTGGCAAATGCTGGATTGTTCCAGGCTTTGTTCTTCTGTCCCTCTCCCTCCTGCTCAGAGGCTGTTCCTTGACCCTGTTCCTCTAGGGAATTTTAATATGAAAGTCAGTGACCTTCTACATGGACCTGATGTGTGACTGCTCCCTGAAACCCTTCTATCTCTCTTTATCTGTCCCTATGGCCCCTCATATTGCCACTGTTTCTCCTTCATAAAGAAGCTCTACTCTTCTTCAGTCACCTGCATCTCCTCTTGTTTGCCAACAAACCATCTCTTTTCTTGTGCTGCAGTTCACTTGAGCATCAACTGCATGCAGGAGGAATGTTGAAAAGCTTTTTAACTCCTGCATAAATAGGAACAGAGCATCTTTAAGAGCAATGATTTTGCTGAAGAGTTTAGTGTGAAATCCATGTGTGCAGCTGCTTTTCATGACCTCCCTCTTTTTTTCATTTTTCTCTCTCCCAAACGCATGCAGCAATCCACTGCCATCTCGAAAGGATTCTAAATTCACCATCAGGGCCCTGATGAGCCAAGTGGGCTCTTAGCACCTTGAAAACCAACTCTCTTTCCTTGGTAGAAAATGTGTTCCCATTGAGCTGCAGATCAGCAAGTTGCCCCAGGGCAGGAGAGAGATCTGGGGGTCACTGGGACACAGAGGCACAGCAGGGGAAAGTTAACAGTCTAAGAAAAGCTTAATTCTGGCACGAGGTGACCCTACCCTCAACTCCCCTGGCGCATTCCCCACTGTCTTATGTCTGTGTTAGATTTATTACCTGAAGGGGGTCATGGAAGCATTTAAGTCATGTTTTGCCCCAGAACGTGACAGCAGAATTAATTGTGCAAATTAAGGATTGGCATAAATGGCATAAGTCATATATCTTGGTGGAACCATTTATTTGCTTTGGGGACCTTAGGAAATGGTTAGCATACCTTGCAGCATCAGGAGGGAGGCAATGAACCTGGGCTATGTTTTATCTGAATGAGGTTCAGGCAGGTCAAAACTCAGGGAATGCATGAGTGCAAGAGACCATGCTGGAGGAGCCTGGGGGTGTTACCCAGCCATCTGGACAGCAGCTGATGTGGTGTGTCCCTGAATAGGTCTGATCCGGTCCCGAATCCGAGGGGCAGATGTGGCAAAAGCAGGTGTCCTGACCTTTCTGGACAGTCACTGTGAGGTGAATAAGGACTGGCTGCTCCCTCTGCTGCAGAGGATCAAAGAGGTGAGTGCTCCTGAGAGACCAGGATCACCCTCAGGGGATGTATCAGTGATGTCCACCTCCTCTTCCCTCTCGATGGGCATGACCGTCCAGCCATAACCAACGGCATCCAAGGCATCCGAATAAGGAAGTGATGAACTTCTAGGCCTATTCTGGTCTTCCTCCACCCAACAGCCACATGGGGTGTCTCTGTGACTGGGGGAGCATGTGGGTGGGTGGGACAAGGTGTCTCCCAGGGCAGTGAGACTCTTAACTGGCAAGCACAGGTTGAGTGGTGAAAGGGGAATACGTGGGCAGTGCTCCAGCAGAGTTTTTAATTAGGCTCATGTAAAATGCTCAGTGCTGATGATTTAAGGGAGTGACGGCTCCTTGAATAGGGGCCGAATTTAATTTCATGCAAATTAAGTCCTAATAAATTGATTTAATAGGATTTAAATTCTGCTGATTTTGGAGCAGACAATGACATTCTCCTTTCGCTGGCGGCGACTCTCTCGTCAGACGTGCACACGGAGGCTCCCGGCGCCTCGGCACTCGAGTTGGGGGAGCTCCGTGCTGGTGACCTGCTGACACCAGGGTGCAAGGGATGAAGCCTTCAGCTTCAGCACAGATGCATGATCCTTTCCCTTCTCCATGCCTTGTTCTTTCACCTTGTTACACCTCTGGTTCCTCATTGGTAGTTTTAATTACTCGGTAATTTTAAAATTACTGAACTATGTTGAATAAGGGCATCTGAGGAGCAAGGGAAAGCTGAGGTGGTGGGTCATGGAGAAATCTGCCTAGTTGGTGTTCGCAGTGCCCCTCATCCAAGGCATCCTGCTTTTCACACCTCCATATGTGATAGCTGTTCTGGCTGGGCCAGAACACCTCTGTGCTGTTCCCACCTCTGTGCACCAGTGGTGGGACAGGGGAAGGGGGGCAGAGCACCAGGTCAGGTCCCTCTGCAGCAGGGGAGAGCTGTTGGTGCTGCTAGCAGTCGTAGTGCAACCAGTGCTGGAGAGGTCCCAACCTTGGTGTGCAGGCTGGGCAACAGTACTACTGATAAATGGAATTAAAATGGTCTTTTCATATTATCAGTCACAGCTCTGGTGCCATGTGCAGCATCACCATAGGAGTTTCACTGCCTCCTGGTCTGAATACAGCATCAAATGCACACATCACCTCTGTGGACTTTTTTTATTTGCTCTTCTGGACTGAATCTTTCTCTAGCTGGAAGGAATGCAGTCTATAAGGTTGCACTGCTGCTTGTGCTGCCCTCGCTTTGTCCAGTGTCTTGCAGCCCCAGGCAGCAAGGGAGACATACTACAAAGAGTGTTGAGGGACTAACAAAACAAGGGCAGTCCCACTTGCTTGCTTTTTAACTGCTCGCAGGAGCTGCAGGATAAGGGCAGAGTCCTTGGTTTCCTTCTTCCCAGGACCACCGTACCCATCCTTTCCATCAGGACTAAAATATTGATCAGTGAAGTGTATGAAATGTTACTGCTGCCACCTTCAGGCTGTGCTCAAGAGATGGGTTCCCTGTCCAACCACTCCGTGAGGATCCGTGAGGATCAGCCACCTAGGAAGAGCATTTTCTCACTCTGTTACTCCTAGGAACAGTTTGCTTTGAGCTAATGTGATTTAAGTTCCAACCAAATGGGTGCTGAGCGCCTCAAAGCAAACCTGGACACTTTTTCCACCACCAGCCACCCACCCCTGCATGTCACTTCCCTTGTTTTCTGAGCCAGAGCAGCTATTCCTGCAACTTTCATGGTAGGAAACACCAGAGCTCATGTGTGGCACCACGCACCCCTGTGAAAGTGCCCCTCAAGCCTTACATCAAGCTTTCCCAGCAGCTGATGGTATCCCCCCCAGGCTGACACTCACTTGTGGGTGTGGGCAGCACATACCCAGCATATGGATTTGGAAACAAGCAGGAAAAGCAAGTGATGGAGTGTGGGGGAATGAGGGGGAGTCTGGGGGGTGTCAGACCTGTGCCTGGGACGGTGTGTGTCCCAGGGAGTGGCAACGATGGTCGGTGTCTTGCACCAGTGTGTTTGCAAATGCATGACTGAGAGTGCGTGGGCATGGGCTCTTGTTTTTACTTATGGAACAAATATCTCTAAAGCCATTAATGGTGCATTTCAACTGAATAACTTTTCTAAAAATGTAATTATGCAGCCTGAGGTATTTTTACAGTATGACTCAACAAGCTCGCCCCAAAACTGTATTTACAAATGGCACTGGGATGAACCAGTGAATGGTGACCCCTTACTTACAGCTCAAATACCTCTCCAGTCTGGTGCTCTCTTGGGAAGGGGGATGCACATGAGGGGCAGCTTGGCCCTCTTACCTTACCTAATCCTGCTGTGGGGCCAGAGGAGCGACTGTGGCCCTTTTTGTTGACCATTACAAGGTCATGATGTAGAGGCTGGGAGACAAGCTGCAGTCAAGGTCCTTCTCCAAGGCTTAAATGTATCTGTTATCTTCAGGACCATTTTCAGAGGTTTTTTCTGTTCATTTAGGTCCCTACGTTGGTATGTTTGAGAAGTGTAGTGGGGAAATGAATTCTCAGGTTTGTGAAAGAGAATTGAAGATTTGGGTGTTGTTAATAATAACATGCCCTGCCATGAGTGGGTATCAAAAAAACAGAGAGATGAAGCTGCCTATAATAAGATTGGTACTCAGCCCAAAATAAATCATAGCAACAACGCTGTGCTCTTGAGCATGCCATGCTTTTCTTTTGAGGGTCAGACAGACCTTGATGAAAGCTGAGTAAATATAAATGTTCCGAGGACATGGCAGGGAAAGTGAGGCAGGGAGAAGGCAGCACTGCTCAAGGGTAGCATTTTGCAGTAATGCACTCAGCCCAGATGTGAAGGGGATTTTCTTACAAGAAGTTGTGCTGTGCAATGAGTAGCAGTGAAATTGAAGTTGGGGATGAGTGTCAGCTATAAGATGCTTGAGGGACAAGTTTTAAACGAGTGTATACAATCCTTTCCATGCCGTGTTCAGCACACAAAGCAGATGCTTTGCTTAAAACCTTTCCCCTGCCCTCAAGCAACTGCAGGATGCTTGGCTGTACTGGAGTGTGGCAGCTTGGGGGGCACTGTGCAGCAGCCACGATGGGTTTGATGGGTTTGAAAGGCTCATCGTGCTTGGATGTGACTTGAGTTTCCCCATGCAATACATAGATAGAGCAGACCTTGCCCTTTCAGTGAGATATTTGACTCACAGAAAGTGATGGTAAGACCCCTGACTTGACCTTGTTATGGAAATACCAAGTATTTGTCATGCTCAATTGGAAAATCTGGCTCTAGTCCAGCTCCCAGCTCATGGCCTTTGGTTGCTTCTTCCTACAGCTGCATTTGAATACTCCTTTGTCAGGACTAATTTCTAAAACAAAGTCTTTTCCCAGCGAGAGAGCAAGCCTGTGTGTGCTCAGATGCTTTCCTTTGTATGACTGTGAAAAACAATTTGATCTAGTGAGGGTAAAACCTTGAAGTTTGAGCTATAATTGGAGTTTGGGATTTTCGAAAAGAAAAAGGGAGATAAGAGACCAGTCAAAGCTGTCAGAGTCTCTTCCTCCTGTAGATATTTTTGTTCATAACTGTTTGTATAATCTCTTTGCCCATAACAAGATGTTAATTAAATCACCACCAGCTATTTTAAATGAATCAGGTCTTCTTTTTTTAACCCTTTCACACCTTTGTCAAAACTCTTAACTGTACTGCCATAGTTTGTGCATTATAAAAAATACCTGTATTTGAGCTATGTGACTGTGTTTTTCCTCTGTCATTTCAATTGCCCGTTTGTCACTTGATTTCTGAAATCTGATCAAAAGTGAGATGAAAGGGGAATACACTGGTGAATTTGCAAAAGGCAGAAGGAACTTTGCATTCAGCCCTCCAGCCTGTGGAGGGCAAGACTGGGTGAAACCCAAGTTGGTTGGAGATGCCAGCTCAGCAGCCCAGCAGCACACAGCCCTCTTTCCCAGGACAGAGAGTGCCTGCCTTTCCAGCCTCTCTTGCTGACATGCCCCTGGCTCCCAGCAGTACCTCTGCCACTTGGTGCTGCAGCCGTTAATTCCTTGGTTGAATTGACTGATGGCTGAGGAGAAGGAGGCAGTGATGGGCACTGGTCCCTGACAATCCTGAATGATGCCAACATTTCCAGCCATCTGATGTCTGCAGCAGCTTGGAGAATCCCTTGACCAGTTTGAGTGGTGTCATCTGAAGTCATAGGTCTTTTCGGTCCTGCTTTCCAGGATCCCACCCGAGTGGTCAGCCCCGTTATTGACATCATCAACTTGGACACTTTTGCTTATGTGGCGGCTTCCTCAGACCTCAGAGGAGGTAAGTCCCAGCGTCATGCGTGCCCTGTGGGTGTCCAGCCGTGGTGTGAACATGCACTGGCCTGAGGAGATGGTGGCTTTGCACCACACCTCTGGCTCCTGCTACCTCACAAAAAAAGTGCATTAGCACTGTTCAGTGCTCCCCGCTGGCTGTTTCCAGGCTATTCTAGAGACAGGTGAGTGTGGCGTGAGCAATAGTGTTTGCTACAGTGGATAAGGCAGTCAGGCAGGAAAGAAGGGTCATGTCAAAGCCATCCTGGGCAGCACTGAAAGTGACAGGAGGAGATGGGGGATATCTAGGCAATAAATGAAGGATGCAACTGTAGCGCTTATTAGTATGCCTGTGCTATTTGTAGCATGCAGTATCCGTCAGAGTGTGTGTCTGTGTGCACAAGGGGACTAAGCAAGGTTTCAGCAGCAGCTTTAATTCTGACTTTTTCTGCCTTTGGAGTGCTTGACTTTGCAATTGTAATGCAATGTGTTGTTTCTTGTTCATACATAGTAGTAAAATATGTTAGTGATTGGACTCTTCTCCCAAGAGCTGCATCTGTGTGGCTAAAGTCATTTGAAAGTGGGGAAAATGCTTCATCAAACACAGCTTATGCATCCTGCGTTGCCTCCCAATTCATACCAATTTCTAATGTCCCCATGGCACTTCTCTGCTTTGGTTTTAGGTTTCGACTGGAGTTTGCATTTCAAATGGGAGCAGCTTTCCCCGGAGCAGAAAGCCAAAAGACTTGATCCCACCGAACCCATTAAGTAAGTCAAGAAGGGGCAGGAGGCACCTGTGGGGCAGGACAGGCTTCTCCTCTGACCTGATGTGTGTCCCCATGCACCATAGCGGTGTGTTGCTTCTTCCAGGACACCTCTGAACTTCTAATACCTATAGCAAGCTTCTGGCTAGCCTGGGTTTTGCAGTACAGCTTCACCCCCAGCACTGAAGCCTGAGAGTGCCACAAAGGTAGAAGGGATATATTTGTGGTTATTGGTGTTTTGGTAATGGTTAGGGTTTGGTGTTGTGGTTAGGGAAAAAGCCCAGTGCTGTAGGCTACTGCTCCTTTCAGCTCAGCTGTCACTTAAAAATAAAGCCTTGGCCCATGATGTCTAGGCCAAGTCTTTCCAGATCAGCACTGCTCTTCTGAACCTCACTGGAGACTCCTCAGAAATAGGGGGTGCAGGAGAGAGAGCAAAACTGAACAGGAGAGATGCCATCTGTCCTCATGCTGTGGGGTGGAGGGAGTTCTTCACTCTGCTGAAAATCTCTCCTGGCAGCAAGCCTGGTGCTGGTGTCTGCAGCCCCAGCCATGAAGCGCTGGGCTGTGAGGCATGGAGGAGACTTGTGCCAGAAAACAGCGATTCTCCTCAAGCTATCTTCTGGGTCTGCCCTCCCCTCCTCCATGGACCTTCTCTGTGCAGTTTTCTTAGCTAATCCAAAGTCTGAAAAATAATCCTGTTTTGAAATAAAGATCACATAGCTAGTGATGGCTTTTAAAAAGCCTTTCTGAATTGGCTCTGCCTTCCTCTCCCCGGTGGAATGGTGCTCTTAATAGGCTGGCTCCAGGCAAAAAGCTGGTCTGAGTGAATAACCCCCCAAGTACTAAGTGCATTTTGGATGCTGAAGCCTACAATCAGGGCTGTGAACTTTGGGTTTGTAGGAGTTGTACTAACGGGTGCATTAGGCTGTCATTAAGTGCCAGGCAGTTTCTGACTGACAGCAAAATACCAAGGCAGCTGAAAGAAGGGCTCAGATGCATTTTGAAGTACATTGTCCTTTTTTTTTTTCTTTGTGAGAAGGAAGTACATAGGTAATGTCCCAATGATGGAAAAGGAGGCAAAGGGAAGGGCTGCTTCTGTGCATCCAGTGTTTGAAAGTGTGTCCTCTTTTCCTTACCCATTTTACAGGACACCCATCATTGCTGGAGGGCTGTTTGTGATCGACAAAGCCTGGTTCAACCACCTGGGGAAATATGACAGTGCCATGGACATCTGGGGTGGGGAGAACTTTGGTGAGTCATTCTTCTTCATTCTCTGCCTTGCTGTGTTGGTTTCTCTTTCTGAGTCATGCCAGATGGATACAAGGTCATTTTGGACTTTGCTTTGAATGCTCTGGATGGTTTCCCTCACTGACATTCATAGGTTATGGTCTCAGTAATGTAAGGAATCCAACAACCATATTGTTGATGGGAATGATGGGAATTGAACAATTGCTGGGACGTGGGACTACCTGTCTTCCATGCTGCTTTGATGTTCTGTAGGTAAATACCCTAAACCACAGAGCTTTCAGCTTTGGTGTTACCCTCGTATTCTTTCCTGATCTTATTTTCCCCTTAATAAAGCAAAGATATGTCTTATTCCATTGCCAACAGCATTTCAAAGCTGTGAACTGAGGCATCAGTGCCTCCTTGAATTTGCAGAGTACCTGGAACAGTAGCTACCTCGGCATGCTGCAAATAGGTGGCAAAGTAACACAACTGCTTATCCATTCCTGTGTCACTGACTGGCTGAGTGCTGCCAGGCTCTCCATGACAGTCACTTTTCCTGCACCAAAATAATAGGTTAAGAGCTGACCTAAATTCAGTCACCTCTGCCCCTTGTCACGGGACAGGATGGACATTAAGAAATCTCCTGCATGCAAACTTGAGAGGGCACATGAAAGAGGTAACAGCCTGTCCCTTGTCCTCCTTGTCAGGTGGAGCTGGATCGGGTTGGGCTGTTCTCTCTTTGAAGCTGTAGCAATGCTGTAGATTAGAGCAATACACTGTATCCAGGAAAGAAGAGGGAGGCATTCGATGTCAGTGAGACAGATCAGAACCTGGCTTTAATAGCTTGCACCCCTGGGGAGTATGGCTAGCCAGGAAGGAAGGATCTTGTGTCTTAACACATACAGCAATGCTGTCAGTCATCCAAGGGAACAGATGCTGCCACCTTGCAGTAATCCATTCGCTGCCTGGCACTGTTGTTTGCTTCACATGCCTTGTCTCCCTAGATATATTTTATTTAGTTATATCCTATTGTGCAGTAGGATCTCACTCACTCATGCTTTCTCTCTGTGGGTGGGTATCTTGCCGCCAGACTAACCCAGAGTGTCGGAGTGGGGTGGCTCTAAGGAAACCAAAGAGAGGAGTGACAGCCCTCCTGCCTCCCCCGCTGGATCAATGGCCCAAACAAAGAAAGGAACTAGACAGGAAGAGGGGGGAAGAAGGACTGTCACGCTGTGTCTGACCTGCTGTTGCCGCTTGTCATTCGCCTCTGACAGCAGCCAGCCCGAGCCGCTCCTGGGAGATGAACAGTGACAGGACAGCCTGCTCTTGGGGGAGGCTCCATCCTGGCAGCTTGTCCAATGCCCTGTAATGGCAGGCATTGTGCTCCTTACATGTGGTTATGGCCCATCCTATGGAGCAGAGCACAAGATTTCCCTCACTGTGCCCCAGAAGGCTGGTCCCAGCTGAACGTACACTGGCTGTGCTGCAGGGTGTGCCAGGACATTGGTGTGACAAAGGAAAGCCAGGCAGGTCAACTTTGCAACAAAAAAATGCAGGTCTGCATAGTAGCAGGGCAGATCCTCTCTTGCCCATCGCCCTGAGAGCAGCAGCGTGCCTGGCTCACAGCTGCATCTCCTGCAGGCACAGCAGTCGAGGGCAGTGTGTCCCATCTCTCCTTTGTACATAAGCAAGGGCAGCTGAGACCCTCCTGGGCCCAGTCAGTTCTGGGCAGGTGATGGAGAGCAGGAGCTGACCAAGCATCTGTTCTTTTTGGGTGCTTGCAGTGAACCATGCTTTTCCTGGTAGCTTAGTCCTGAGGGGGTGCAGGACTCTGGTCCTGAGGAGCATCACTGCTGCTTTTAATGTTATTGACTGTGCAACTAGAGGGGGCTGGAGACTTTAGGCAAAACAAAAATGAGTCTCTTTGTGTTGGAAGAAAGACATTGTAGGTGTTTTGCTTCTTAAATGTACTTAATTCCCTCTAGATGAGTAATGGCAGAAAGGAATTGCAGGGCAGCAAGAAGTGCTAAAGGTATTTTACCAAGTGAAGGCCAAGTCCAGTGCACCCCAATGCGTATTGCTCACATCCCTCCTTGGGGCCACTTGAAGGGACCACTTGCACTGGCAACATCTCTCAAGGGTCAAGTGATGCACACTGTCATTTCCTGCTACCCTGGCTCCTCTGAGTTGACCCTGTGCCATGCTTTAGCTGGTGCCTCAGTTTACCTTCTCTTGAGGCACTTAGCTCTTGGCTGCCTGTCTGGATACCCTGTTTGTTAGCTGCCATGGATGACTCCGTGGGTCATCCCTGCTGGAGGAAACCTGTGCTTTAATTGTTTCTGCTGGGCCTAGAGCAGGATCTGCAGGGTGCAACTAGTCTGAAGCAGGGAACTCAGAGTCCTCACCATCTCATGCCTCCCCAGCACTGTGTCCTTATTCCAGACTGCAGTGCACAGAGGTCACGTCTTCATTAGGTTTTACATTAAGACCAGGCAAAGACTGAGTGGTGCAAGCCTTTCCCTTTCTGCTCAGCCTCTCTCAGGCTGAGCAGAAGGACCAGAGGAGGGGAAGGCATGAGGCAGTAGCCACGCTGTGGACCAGTCCACAGCTTCTTGTCTGGTTGTCCCCTTTTATTGGACACCCTTCTAATTTACACGGCAGCACCAGCAGAGTGGCCGGCGCTGTGGCACGTGAACAAATGAGAGCGACAGCCACATGCAAGGGGAACTGAGCACAGCAGCTTAGAGTGGCCATATCCTGCCGTAATCTCATTTCCCTGCAGCTGTGATTAAGGTTGCTCCCAATGCAGCACCAGGACATGGCACAAAGGCGCTGTTAATACCCAGCACTGGGGAAAGTGGTGAGGCTCCAGCTGCTGTTGCAGCTCTTGCGTGTAAACACAGCAGTAAAGGGAAGGGCAGGGAATTTCTGGGAAGGAATACTCCTCCCTGCTGTGCTTTCCCACCACTGCCATTGTTTGCCCCTGCTCCCAGGGCCAGCTGTTAAGGATGGGATCAAGCCTTGAATTTTGGGCCCGCACACCAAGGCTTTGCAGCTGTGTCAGCCTCCCATTTCTATCAGCTCAGGAGCAGGCGGGTGTGTTGGGAGTGGGATGGGAGCAACATTAACCTGGCTTCCACCCCTGCAGCAACATGCAACTTGGGGCTGAGCCATGTGTACTGAGGCGGCTTTGGAGGTCCAGACTCCAATTCGCCTTTGCTCCCTGAAACTGTGAGTTGTTTTTGGAGGGATGGCAGCTTTGTAGGCCAGCAGTGCCTGCCGTTGGAAGAGGAGGAGTCCTGTCCCCACTGCCCAGTTGGCCTGCCTGCCACAGGTGCTTGTCTTGCCAGCATCCGACCTGGGGACAAGTCATCCTTGCCTTGGCATATGTGAGGGGACTTCTGGGAGCACAAGCTGGCAAAGATGATGGGTGTCCTTCTGTCTTAATTTTGTAGTTAAATGGGGGGGTGAAAATGAATTATTAGTTTTGGAGTAGATACATGCTACCTATAGCTCTTTACTGTCAACAGTCGATAAAGTAGGATTCAAAGACCCGCAGAAGCCTTTTCATTTTAATTTCATTTCTTCTCCATGCTGGTTCCGTCTGAGCATGACTTCCTGACAATAGAGCTGCAGATTCATAGCTTCATAAACATTAGGACCAGATGGGCCCATTAGATCAGTCATTCTGTTCACCCATCCTACCTCATCCAGCTCCCTGCCAAGAGCTCTGTAACTTCTGGTATCAGTTGTGCCACAGGCTCATTTTCTCTGAGAAGGGTCCCAAGGGCCAGCCAGTGAGTGGCTTGGAGTGACTCGGAGTCATTTCCCATACTGACAGCTTATCCAGACTTTTGAGATAATCCCTCCCACCACTGACCTTTGCTTGTGTGAGGGTGTGTGCCATATTGTACCACCACATTGGCACCGATGGCATAGTACCTGGGCAGGGTAAGCTCCAGTCCATCTTGGGGCAGGCAATGGATGCACAGCTCCCTGTTCAGTTTGCAAAATCAGTGCTGGATTCATAAAGAAAAAGACAGTTGTAGTTATTCATAAAGAGATTTCATAGCCTCTCGTGGTGAACTTGAGAGCCCTTTGGAGGGAAGTGACTCTGAAATAGGCAGAGCAGAAGTAATTAGGGGAGCGCAAAACTGGCAAGACAATTCTGCAATGTAAGCGGGGCTGCATGGAAAGGGACCTGCTTACTGTCTCATGCTTGCCATTGTGATAGCACCTGCTGTGCTAGAGGCAGGTTTCAAGTGCACTGACTTCAAAAAGCTTGCAAGAAGCTTTGAAATGCACTTTTAAGGCAGTTTTGCCTAGGAGAGCCCCTCTGGTAATTGATTTAGCCAAGTTTAATGTGGCAGGGGATGAAGTGAGAGCTAACACTAGGATCCAGACTGCTCTAGGACAAAAAGACAAAATGCTGAAGCTGCTTCTCTTGTAGAAATCTCCTTCCGTGTGTGGATGTGCGGAGGGAGCCTGGAAATCATCCCCTGCAGCCGTGTTGGGCATGTCTTCCGGAAGAAACATCCATACGTCTTTCCAGAGGGAAATGCCAATACATACATTAAGTAAGTGGTTTGTACTTGCTCTTTTTTGTGAAACAGAATGAGGAGCTGCCTTGTAGGGAGGGAGGAGGAGAGAAGACAGGGAGGAAAGTTTGTTTAGAAAACTCTGAAATATCCTTGGGCAGAAATTTCCTGAGCCAAAGAACATACATGTTAGTACAACTGTCCTGCAGGATTTCTACAGTGTCGAGAAAATGACAAAAATAGGACAATTATATGGTACCTTCCATCAGCACAGAAATGGAGGAATGGCCCCAGCACATCTCTGACCACTAGCTACTGGAACAGCAAATGATTTAGACCTTGAGTCACCAGAACACATTTATAATGACCTGCACTCAGGCTGCCAGCAATGTCTGTCAGTACCCAGTGACCTTAGCTGCGTGTTCAGCATGGCTCAGCTGAACCAGAAAATTTGGTTCCCAAAGTCTCTCCAAGAGGGGAGCCAAGCACCTTGCTGGAGTGGGTGACTGTGCCTCTGGACTGGTGCTGTCTCTTGAGCAGAGGCAGCAATGGGGTGCACCTTGCTGGCATGTACACTGGAGGAACTGCCAGGCCATCCCAGCTGAAGGGGACCTCTCGTCAAACACAGGAACATAGGCTGAATGAGATACTGAAATGGCTGGCTGAAATGGGCTAAGATCCTGAAAACATCAGGCAAAGAAGAAGGCAATCCAGAAGTGAGAATAGGCATGGGAAAGTTGATGGTAGCAGCTAGCGAGGTCAGGAGGGATGTTCTCTGTTTTTAGACTGTGAGGCCGAACGTTGTTGCTTAAGTAAACGACAAACACGTGGGGTACTTATACTAAATGCAGGGTTGTTTCTCAGCTAACCTGCAGTTGTGAGTGCTTACACACCAGGCATTCCTTTTAGTGCAGGCTTCCCAGTGTTAGAAAGAGCCAGCAGCACTTGTGAAGACCCGGGCTCTCTGCAGCTTCCCTATCTTTTACATGAGACAACGAGCTGGGGGAGTGCAAATTACACTTCTCAGTTACACCTAATTCATGATTTCCAGCCATGCAGTGTGTGGGGCAGGAAGGGGGACTTTGTCACCTTGAATAGCCGGTGTTGAGGGGCACAGGGCATTGCTGGAATCAAGGAGGAGAGCACTATTTTGAAAGTCATGAGGAAGGCTCTTGCTTTTAGTACTGAAGTAAGATTCATACAGAAGAGGCTGGGATGTGGCAAAATCTCTGCTGTCGACATCGGTGCAAACCTGAGTGAAAAGGTAGTGTCTGCATTGCATCACCTGCAGGAGGAGCAAGGAGAGCTTGAATGGGTACAGCTCTTCTGGCTGCTTCTCTGGCACAGGCCTCTGGGGACCTAGGGGATGCCTGTATCATGTAGGTGTGAGCCTCATCATTTATCCCCGTGTTTCTTGTAAATCCAGATGAGATCAGGATGCCAAACAAAAGAACCCTGCACTTGGGGGAAGGTTAGGTACAGATGTAAACACTGATTCAGTCATCTCTTGAACAAGAGCACTTAAACTATTTCCTTAGAGAGAGGGGAAGAAGCCCATGAATCATCAAGGAACTGCAAAGCAGTCTGGAGAAACATACCTGTAGGCATCAGGAGGTTGGATGTTGTTAACCCTATGATATCTATCAGCCTTAAACTTAATATTATAGTATATAGACACAGAGGAGAAGCAGCTTCTGGCACCCTGATGCTATGTAGTACTTCTGTTTAAATAGAGATGTTAGCAAAAAATATCTCCACCCTTCTGCCAGATCCTGATTTTTTTTCCACACAACCCCTACTTCAGAGTGAGCTTGGACTCCATTGTAGTGCTGGCTTCACATGCTGACTGTCTCCTTTTCTGGCCTCCTGGGACTTGGCTGGATCCAGAGCCTGCCCACGGCACGTGCAGTTTAGTGATGTAGAGGCACCGGCCTGCCTTGGAACAGGAGATTGGAGGACTCCCCTGGCCTGGGCAGAGATAGGCAGATAGGCATGGAGCAACAAAGATATTTGCGAGAAGAGTTAGAGCCATCTCAAGTCAACAGAAGACTTGCTGAGGTTCATAAACCTGCAGACACCTGGCTGATGTGAAAGACCGATATTTATACACTGTGGTGGGGTGGTTCCTCTTAAGTTTTGAATGCTGAGGTTTGCCTCAGTGAAATCCAGGAGTGCGATGCAGGAGAGTCTATACAGGATTGACTCAAAGGAAATATTTGCAAATCTTTGGCAAATTTTTCACCACTTTTCTGAGCTCCATCCAAGCCACTAAATAAAACACCAGGCACTCCTGCCTGGGAGAGATGATGCTTAAAAGAACCTTCAGTTCCAAGTATGGTGGATACAAATAATCCAGCTGAGTTTGAAATGGTGAATTCTTCACCCAAGCTTTATTTGGCCTGATGAGTTTGGTCCCCGGAGTAATGAGGAGGAGGAGTACCTTCTCTAGTAGTAAGGAGTGGGCTGTCTCAAAGGTGATTTGGGTGATGCCAAAGACCGAGTTGAGGGTAGGAGGAGAGCAGGATGGATCAGTTAATACATTTTGGAAAATGTTACCTTGGAGGCTTCCTTGGTTTCATCTGTCTTTTGCTGCCTCCTTCAGAAACACCAAGCGCACTGCGGAGGTGTGGATGGATGAGTTCAAGCAGTACTACTACGCAGCTCGTCCCGCAGCCCAGGGGAGGCCTTATGGAAAGTAAGGATCTTGCTCTGCCTGTGCCCTGCCTGTGCCCTTCCTGTGCCCTGCCTGCTGCAGTGGGGTGTTCACGGTGACGTCTCTCTGCTGCGGAAACCCGCCTGCGTTGTTTCTGTAGTAACGCTCAATTAAATGCTAATGGTAGGCAGATGCTATGAGCACAGCAATGAGACCTATAAACAGCCAGTTTATATGCTGTGCTGGTTTATCCCAGAGAGTGAGCCAAACCCAGGTGGGGGAAAACCTTTGCCTGTGTCCCACCCTTGGCATTAGGTACAAATACTTCTGGTCCCAGAGGGGAGTTTGGTGGGAGAGTTCAGAGGTGTTGTTGTCAGCTGAGGAGAAGGAAAATCATCAATTTTTTGGCCTGCTAATGCTTTATTGGAAAGGAGCAAGTCCTTTGTATGCAGGGAGTTTGCCATTCATTCTGTGAACAGTCAGAAACACCTCCCTGTCAGGAGGACTGTAAATATTTGTGTTATATTTCTCATTTTCATATGGTCCTCCTTGCCTTAGAAAGTTTCCTGTGGACCACAGGTGGTTCCAAATCCAAACCCATATTCCTTGTAGCTAATCTTCAGTCTCCAGAATAAATAAATTAAAGTCCTGCTGACTAACCTGTTTTCACTGAATTATTATCCTACTCCCATTTATTGGCACCAAATGAAGTAACGTCTCTGTCCTGCTTTTTATAGGAGGGTGTGGAGAAGTTATCCTATGCAAAAGGAAGGTACTGGAGGCTTCCAAGTACTCTGTAAATGCCAGCTCATAACAGCTTCACAGGCTGGCCTAGGGAGGAGCTGGAGTTTGGAAAATGTCACTGTACTGCCTAATCCCTCAGCAGAAATTTTGTCATGATTAATGAAAGAAAAAAGTATTTCACCATGAGATTAACTTCTGCTGACTTAAAAATGTGTTTAGGTGCTCTTGGAATCAAGGCCTCCTGTAGTCCTGTAAACTAAGAGTAACTTAGTATAGTGAATAGCATATATTAATTTCCTTGTACGTTAATATAGTAAAGTAATGCTTATTGCATATAGTAGACAGCATACATTTTTTTACTGATAATTTTTAAGTGACTGCACTTTTCTGTTGATCTATTTATGTGCCCAACTTCAGACTCCTTGTTAAAATTGCAATATGTCGTCATGCCATTTTACCAAGTGAGACCTCCAAAGAGATGGGGATCAAACAACCTCTCAAGCTCATGCAGAAGAAAGCAGAAAATAGAGCTGCTGATGCTCTTGTGTTTGCCGTCTGTGCATATCTGTTGGATTTCTATCAGCCTCCCTTTTTGGTGTGTTGGGTCTCACTTAACTCATTTCCATTGCATCTCTATGATATTTTCTTCCTACAGTGTCCAGAGCAGAGTGGAGCTGCGGAAGAAGTTGAAATGCCACAGCTTCAAGTGGTACCTGGAAAACGTTTATCCCGAACTTCGGTATGGATGTGCCATCTCCACCTGTCTCTAGCAGGCCACTGGCATGCCCCATCCCTCCTGCCCCACAGAGCTTCCCTCTTCATCTCCAGTCCCCCCATGTCCCCCTGCCCCAGAGACTCAGGCACCCCCTCCCTTGGGCTTCACAGAAGGGCAAAGTAAATTTTGTGCTGGCTTCAAATACAGTGTGCCATGCTGCAGGGCCAGGAGTTGGTCTTCGAGTATCCTTGTGGGTCCCTTCCAAGTCAGGATATTCTATGATCCTGTGATTTGTGATCCTGCTTTCTCTAAACAATCTTATAGACCTTGCAGCTCTTTGCTGTGGGATTGATGAGGGACAAGACACCAGTTATTCCCATTTACTCTCAGGGATTCATTAGATGTCCTCCTGCCCATGCTGTGGGACAGGTTGCATAGGGAAATAGCTAGTTTTCCTCTCAAAAGTATCCCAAGGCAGAAAATCCACCATAGCCTCTGCTGGGCTGTTTCAGTACTTAATGACTCTTGCTTACTAAAGAAGCACCTAATTTCCAGTCCTTTCACACTGTTCTGTGGTACTCAAGGCTTCCCTGTTGTGAAACCATCCACTCTAGGATTTTATGACTTGTATTCAGATAGCTCTGCCTTGCTTTGCTTAATATCCACTTCCACAGTTGCTTTTGCACAGATATTTTTTAGTTACCAAAATTATTCTAGAAACCGTTGCATTCATTCTCCTATCAGGAGCCATCCTCAGAAAGGGTGGAAAAGTTCTGGAGGTACTGCCAGGCACCCTGCTGGTGCAATGGCTAAGTGCAGAATCACTGTGTGAAAATGGTGATTTATAGCTGTTTTCTTGGGGTTTTTTTGCTGTATGTGGCATTACACAGCAGCATTTACAGGGAACGCCAGGGCTCTGTGACAGTGTGTTATAAAGTTCCTCACTCTTGTAAGCTGAAGGCTGACCTTCAGCCTGCTCAAAGTCTATTCCTTGCTCCTCTGTTTGCCTTGTGCACTGTTATTTATTTTTTCCTCTTGTAAAGGTCAGCCATCCATCTCCGAGCGCTGCTTCTGCAGCGTCCCTGTCCGTGTACTGCTCTCAGTGGTTCCGTGTTGTAATAGATCTTGCCACTCCCATTTTGTGAAGGTGAAATGGTGTGACCTTACCCCACTGAGCCTCCTTTGAGTAGTCCGTGGGCCTGGGAAAGTACGGATGTTGTTTAAACGCTGTTCCCACAGGATTCCTGAGGAGTCGCTCTATCAGACTGGGATGATCAGGCAAAGACAGAGCTGCCTGGAGTCACACAAGTCTGAAGACCAAGAGCTCCCCATCCTGAGCTTAAATCCTTGTAACAGCAGCAAGGGCACAGTACCAAAGGCACAGGTAAGATGTGTTGTGTATCCCCATGATGCTGGATAGAGAGAAGCCTCTGGGTCAGCTTCAAGATAATTGCTTAAGTTTACTAAAGCTCTGTTGGAGGATTTACCTGTTCTGACAGACCCTTTCCTTAGATAGCATGTAGTTAAACCCTGGTAACTCCACCTGAGTTAGGTGGAAGCCCTGGGCAGCAGCAGGGATTGGTGCAGGAGCCACAGTGCAGTGTGGACCACTCATCTCTGTGCCAGCCTCTGCTGACCACTTACTGCCAGGAACACCACACGCTGCTCATCTGCGCAGCTCAAAGACAAAGAGAACTATAATTTCCTCTCATCTTTCAGCCTTTTCTCTTTCAGAATGCACTGAATCGCAGTGGTATTTATAACTTCGTAGTCTGCATTCTCTCAGTATTAGATTGCCCATTAAACTAGTGAGAATTTAATGAGGACGATCTCGTTTTTTTCAATCTCACTGAGATGAGAAAAAGCTGTATGAATTGGTGTTCTCAAAATCACAGCCCGGGAAACATCAGAGCCAAGAGTAGGCTCATGTGCCTTGTTGCAGCAGAGTTTCTGGAGCAAGACTCTGAAGACACAGCTACAAAACCTGCCTTTCCTTCAGCCTCCCTTTGTGATTTTGGGCATGTCAGTAAGTTCTCTCACTGTTCCCATCTATAAAACAGGGAAGATAACAATCACTTGCTTCTCCACTGTTGCTGTGAAATAATTTAAAAGGCAATGGTGTGCTTGCTTCCGCTTGACTGTACATTCTTAACCCTTGTGGTTACACATTCAAGCCAGGTAGCTGTGCATATGAAAGGCCCAGCCTGGGGAGACTGATCTGTATGTGCAAAGGAAGCTTGTCATTATGTGCATCTCTTTCAAATGCAGTTGCATGCCTGTCTTTAGGCAGGAAAATAATATCTGTTTCACAGCATGGTAAAATCAACAATGATTACTCGAATATTAGTCAGTTCAGAAAATATAATGAATATAATTGTGAGTGTCACACAGTTAACACTTCTTAAGGTTTCACTGGTTTCCAGGTTCTAGGATTGTTTTTGTTTCTTCCTCTGCTACGTGGACTTTTCACATAAACAGCAAGAAAAGCAAGCTAATGAGAGGAGGTCATCATGTTTTGCAGGGCCAGCTCTGCAGAAGAAAAGAAAAATGTTTCAGTGACAATTGCAACTTTCAATGAATTGGATGTTTTTTTAAAAAAAGCTGGAAAAATCAGAATGAAAAATGCTGCTGCAAGCTAGCATTTCAAAATGAAATGGTATTGGTCTTTCTGAAATATCAGTTTGATGTGGTATTTTAAAATGAGAAATGTCATGCCAACAAGTTGGATTGTTTCATTCCCAGCAAACACATTTTGTTTTGACATTTCTATGCAGTAAATTTTTGGAATTTTTCATGGCACAAACTTTTCAGCTTCCCATTCTGATTCTGCAGCAGTTTGCAATAGGTCAACACTTCCTGCTGGATGGCAGCTCCATTTCTTGTGCACATCCAGGACTAACTCTACAAGGGAACAGAAAAATACACTACAAACAGATTGCAGAATGCCTATACTCAGTACACAACAGGAACAGAGAAAAACCTTTTCCTTTTATCTTTCTGTCTTTCTAGTATAATTCTCTGTTACTTGTACCCACAGAGACTATTTCAGATTAAAGCGTGATATTTAAACTTTCATTGTGAATAGAAACATATTTTAATGACACAATTGTTACAAGACCACCTGAACTTGTGGATGACATGGGTGTTATAGTGACCAGGCTGTGTAGGATCGATTATGCAGCAGTCCTGACTGCTACTTAGTTTTGCATTTGATATACCATAATAGAGCAATAATCTTCACTTTTAACATATTGAAGTCACGTCTTGTTTGCCCTAAGCTTCATTATTTGAAAAATAGGTTTAGTTGAGTCAAAGCTGTGCTTTCCTGGCATTCAGTAAGTACCATGGAAATATCCTGGCCATCCAAATTCTTTATTTTCGCTATTACAGGAGCAGTAATTTGGTTGCTTTGATTGCCTTCCTGTATCTGTCTCATTGCTAGGCTCCCCCAGCCCTTTAGCAACATTACATGCATGAAGTCCTGGGACTGGGTGTGAGAAGATCTGAGCTATCATACATTATCATGGTTTAAAGAGAGAGGCAAAGGAGCTGTGAGATGGTAATGAGTTGCTCTTTATTTTAGTTCTTTCTATCTGTAGTGCAGGGAAAGGATGTTGTGAGACCTCTGGCTACATCCATAGTTTGGATAAATTGAGATGAATACTCTGTGGTGAAATCAGATTTACACCCTTAGCAGGTCTCACAGACCCTCCCTGGTGGTGTCTGGTGTTGGCCTTGAATTACAAAAAAGGGCACTGAGGCACAAAAAGACCCCTTATCTTTGTGTAGGAGAGCTCTGTTCTGTCATCCTGGGGATCCATTTGGCCCTTTCTGTTCCAAAAGGTCTGGCAGTGGTCAAAGTAGGCTCTGTCCCTTGAGATGGCTCTCAGAGGGCTCTTGAGTTATTGACTGGCAGAGATCTTTGTGCAGTGCTCATCCCCAGGGCACAGCGGGCTCTGCCTGCACTCCTGCCCACTGGAGCCCTTGTACTCTATGCTTTGTTGCATCTCATTTGCTAAATGAAGAGATTGATTTAGTTTTTCACAAGAGAGATGCATCTGAGGGAAAATAATTGATCATAATTTTGTCCTCATCTATCTAATGAAGATGTGAGTAGTTGGGGGTTTTTTCCAAGTCAAGTGTCAGTTGATATTAGTTCACAAAGTTTGGAACAGACATCTGACTCTGGGATTTATTTAAATCATTAACAGCTTCTGGAAACCTGACATACTTCAGATAAAAAAAGCAGAAGGTGCTTTGACCTGGATACTCACACACATGCAAGCAGTCTCTGCAAGATGAATGTAAAGTTCAGGCATCTTCTAGACAAGCAAGGAAACATTAAGAAGGCTGTGGCATCCATTTCCTGGGCCTGCACCCCAAAATATCTGGTGTTTGGAGCTGAGTGGCTGCTATTGCATTTAAGTGGCATGTGCTTGACTCTTCCTGTGAAGGAAATGCAGTCTCATAGTCTGCCTGATACAGCTTTGATGCTCACCCCAGTTTGCTTGAGGTCCTCTGCTGACTAAATCTGCATTTTGGAGAACATTTAGCATCTATCCAAACTAAGTGTGCCTCCTGAGACAACTCAGCCATAAACATTCTCTTCTGACCTTCCTCCCCTCAAAAGCCTTCGTTCTTCTTCATGAACACGTCCTGCCCCAGCTGTAGGCTGGCCAGAGCTGCAGGAGGCAGGCTGAGCTAGCAGAGCAGAGGGGTAGCAGTGGCACCTTGTGTACTTCGCTTTCCCTCTCCTGAGATGTGTGTAAGTGCCAGTTGCATCCCAGGGTCTTTTGATGAGAGGAGCACTTTGGTGTTCTTAGGTGACCCATGCAGTCACATGCCTTGGGAAGTCCTTCCCTCTGATTTTAAAAAGATAATTGGGGAATTAGATTTTTCCCAGCTTCTTCAGAAACATTTTTCTTTAGCTACTACCTTGGCTTTAGGGTACAGCTGACCTCTTACTCAGTAGCAGAGGCCTCTCTGTCACGTAATGCTGGGTTCCCATGGGACTGCTCCTCCCTAGGCTGAGGGGCTCCTTCCTCCATCTGTCAGCCAGGCTATGCCAAGCCGAAGGTCACATTTTAAAATAATTTCCTCAATTCATAATCATGCTGAGTAACAGTGACAGGTGCCTGCTCAAATGATGCTAAAGCCTTGAAAAATAATCACAAGCCTCAGATGGGGGGTTAGTGTTATCTGAGGCTTTGGAGGAGGGGGATTGCTGGTGGTGGTATGCAGCTGGTAGCTCTGTTCTCCAAGCCCACCCTCTTCCTCCTTACTCCACCACCACTTGTGTTTGTCTTTGAAAAGGCCAGAAATCTTGATTTCAGTTTCACCTCGTATATCTGTTTTTCACTGGTGCTGGGATCAGATCTAAGCCCTGATGGCTTCTTCAGGCCAGTCTTCAGCCCTGAAGCCATGCTAGCTCCTTGAAAATCTCCTTAGGAGTACCATGGGCTACACTGTCCACCACAACCTCCATGGTGTGTAACTCTGTTGTTGTTACTGCTGTGCTGGCCATGTCAGTGCTAGGGGTGCCAGGGTTTAGGAGATAAAGTAGTTTCTAATGGAAAAGAAGAAAAAGGCAGAAATTTTAATCCCAACTGCTACAAATAAGGAAAGATATGAGGTAAGATAAAAATTTACATGGCCATTTGCATGCATTTGAACTCAAAGCCCTTCATGGGTTCTGTGGTGTTCAACTGACTCCCCCCCTGTACCCCACAGATTTCTTAATTTTCTGCATCATTTTCTCTGGCTTTCATCTAGGACTGAGAGGGGACAAGACATGATTAGAGCTGGATAAAACATTTTGAACAGGACTGGCTTTCATAAAGGAGCCATTCTGCCAAAATAGATGAGCTGTGTGAATATCTGTCAGTTGAGATAAAGACAGTAGAAGGACAGCCTGGGGGCAAGAGGGTAGGATCCAATGTCAGCTGTCGAACCAATGCATACATCTAGCTCTGGACTCCTCACTTGTTATGAGGAACAAAGCTTAGGAAAGATGGTTACCACCACCCTTTCTATCCCATGGACCATTGCTGAATGAGAGAATGGTCTTGCCTTGAGAGGATGTGAATATTGGGAAGGCTTGAACAGAGCCTGGCCTGGCAAAAAAGCATGGAGAACCTTTGTGAGGAGCAGTCCTCCATGAGGTACCTCAGTGAAGCAAGGAGGCTAAGACATCAAAGTCCCATGGCCTGAGTTAGTTGGGGGATCCAACATATACACAAGTCCAGGATTAACTAGCTGCTGCTGAGGAGCATCATGGATGCAGCTCCAGCCCTGTCCTGAGGTAGAATGACTAACAACTGGTTAAAAATGTAAAGCAGGTTTTCAAAGCAGCTTGTAGTAGCGTGGGCACCAAGAACAGATGTTGGAGCTTGCCCTGTAGGGTTTGGTTCTTCACAGATGCAGGAGTAATTTGGCACCTGATTTCCCAGGCTGGTGGTTTACACACAGCAGCTGACAGCGTGCATGGTTGGGATGTCTGGAATATGTTCACTGTAGGATCAGGTAAACTCTGCTCCATATGACAAAGAAGAACTAGTTGCCAGAAGGCCCTTTGGGTGCAGATTACAGCTTTGAAAATGAATGCTTGTTATGTGCCCAAATCCTGGGCAGCGCTCACTGAGAAGCCTGTGGGCAGGCTGTTCAGAAAGCCAGGTTTGATTTCCATGAGCTGGTGGGGAGTAGTGGGCTAAGAAGCACGGGGTATGAGGATCACAGTGTAAAATCCTTGTGGAGCTGGGTCTGCTGTGCAAAAGCGTGTTTTCCCTTCCAGGTGGCTAAGAACCTGAATCAAAGTGGGATTTATGTTCCCAGGAGTTAAATGCCTGTAGCTGTCTGTTTTGAAGTTGAGGAGAGGAGTTAGAGCTGCTGACGGTGACAAATACCAAAGGAGTGGAAGCGTTTCCCTGCTCTAATAATTCATGCTAGTGCAACAAAAAACCTCCACCATTCAAAGTCAGAGGAGCTGCAGGCATCCCAGCTCTGAGAGCAGGGCAGCCATTCTTCACATTCCCCTCCAGCACTTAGAAAGGGTTGAAGTCTCCCAGGAGCACCTTTTACCCTTCATTTTTCCAGCCTCAGCCTGATAGCCATATGTTTGAGCTCTGCCTTCCCCTCCATTGCCAACACCACTGCTCACATCACTTCTCACGGAGCTTTGGCTCTCTATATCTGAGCTCTGAACTGTTTTGCTTTCTCTCTGCACCTTTCCTTTCACAGCAGGTTTTGCGTTTTCATAGCCTGTACTGTGTCAAAGCATCTGCCTTGACTACTGGGGGCTGTTGCAGAAACCCTCTTGCTCCCTGGCCTTGTCTCTCCAGCAGGGTTATTGCCCTCTGACAGTGAAGCCAGCCTGCTCTTTGTCCTCCAGTCCTGCTCACCTGCCCTGCCACAGTTCAGAAACCTGCTTTCCATTTGCTCCCACTGCTGCTCACCTGACTGCTCAGAACCATTTACATAGCAGGAGTTGATCCTGCTTTGCACTCTGGCTAGGGGCCCTCAGAAAACCCTTCCAGCCCCGCTCTTTCTAATTTTAAAGTTGATGCTCACACAAAGTTATAAGCAAAACAATTGTTCCAGAATTCTCCCTCCAGAGTTATGTGAAAGCCTGGTTTGCAGTTTCCCGTCAGCCAAACGAGCTCTTGTCTATTTGTGTACTCACACAAATAGCAAGGAGACATCCCTTGCTTGGGATCCTCTCAGGAGCTGCTTTTGGGTAATATGAACACTGGTAAATGATAGGAAAGTTCAACTGGAATAAACATTGGAGTAAACTTCTGTGAAATACTCCTGGGCTATGTATCTGTACATGCCTGATGCTTTGTTGTGCACATTTAGAAATTCTGGTCAAACTATCAGCTACTTCTCTTTTTTCCCAAGTAAAACATCTAGTAGTGAAAAAGAGGGTAATCCCAGACAGCCCCTGTTGTTTGGTAAGCATCACACTGGGCAAAGTCTCTGTTCCTCCAAAGTTTATTTCTTAGGCTGAGAAGCTCATAAGAGAAGGTGAACATGAAAAGCAGTATGAAGAAAAAACCTTCAAGACAGCCCAGAGGAACAGAAGTAGCAGTGGTCATCACAAACCAGTACAGCAAACCTTTGGAATTTGCTCCTGCTGCCTTGATAGAAAGCCAAGCTTTATCCCTGATTTTTGTTATATTTGGGAACAGAATCCTAGGAGTTGCAAACATTTGCTTTGTATCACCTCTCCCACCACCAGCTGCAAAACATTTCTGCTGCTCTTCCCTGGAAAAACAGGATTCCACACTGTGTGGTTAGTAGTATTTCTGCCTCTCTTTTGCTTTTTTCCTATCCTTTTTTCCCCCCAACCACAGCCCAGTTCTAGCTATGGAATCTTTTGTCTCATGAACCATTTTCTTCCAAGTGCTTTTGTAGACATTTTCTTTGGTACCTGCAGTCCCCCAATAACAGCTGCAGTTTTGGGGAGGCTTGAAACAGTGACCTGTCCTGGTGCCTCTTGAAGTCAATGATGTTTATGCTTGCCTTCAGAAGGGGCAGGATCCAAGCCAAAGTGTTGGTTTTCTGAGTAGAAGAATACCAAGAGTCAACACTGATCTCTCACCTCATTTTTTTTCTTCCTCTCTGCAGGAATGGACGTACACGTACAACCACCAAGTCCGCCAGCAGCAGCTGTGTTTGTCTGTGTACACGCTCTTCCCTGGCTCCCAGGTGCTGCTGTCACCTTGTAAAGAAGGTGACAACAAGCAGGTGAGCCCTTTCACTGATCTCCCATTTTCTTTGAGATTCCCTTTCTTTCATCATAGTATTACTGCACAGTAAATGGCCCGTGTGTTCTGACTTCATCTGGGAAGCACAGTCTATTCAGGAGTACAGACTCTGGCCTGTTCAGCCCTTTGCCTCTTAAATGAGTGTGTTGATAAGGACGTCTATTAGTGAGGGTGGTGATCTGGATACTTATCTGCAGAAGTCAAACCCAAACTGGCAATTTAGTTCACACGGGCTGCCAGTCAGGCAGCAGATGCTAACGTTTCTCTGTAGTTAATCACTGAGCTGGCATTTGAACCAGTGACCTGGGGAAAAAGCTGTTAGTAATGTATTATCTTCCTGAAGCCAGGCAGAGGCCGAGCTTAAATGAGTGTGCTTCTGATGGGAAAAATGCTCAGCGTGTGCTCTGCTTGGTGCGAGTTTGGGGACCTTGTGCTTCCCAGCATCAGGCCAGAGAGGCTTGGTGACACCGGTCCTTTTGATGCTGGAACAGTACAGTAAAAATATAATGGGGTGGAAGCTTGTTCATCTCTTTTTCCTCTCGTGTGTCTCTCTCCTCAGCGATGGGGTAAAGTTGGGTCACACATTGAACACATAGCCTCACGCTTCTGTTTGGACACTGAGACGATTGGGGACACGAATGAAAGTATTAAAGAGCTTGTCATCAACCCTTGTGAGAGCACAGCCATGAGTCAGCGCTGGGACATGGTGATGTCTTGACTTGCTGGAGGAGCTGCACGGCAGGGACGGGCACTGAGACGTTGCTACACGCAGCCAAGATGCACCAGCTGGAGCTCAAATGCAAAACCACTGGGGGTCCTTGTGTGCTGTGGGGCAGAAGAAGAATCGTTCAAATAAAAATGGGACAGAGCAGTCCAAGTTGAACAACGCATTTTGACTCTAAGGCATGCAGCTGGTATTGGCCTGTTGGCAGTCATGGATTCAGAGAGAAGGGATGGCAAAAAAACAAGCTTGAAATGTTTTAAAGGGATGCTGGGGCTCCTGCTATGGGCTGTATAGAACTTCAGTGTGCACAGTATTGGTTATCCACCTGAAAATGCAGGTAGAAGAGCCTTGAAGACCAAAAGGAAACTTGGACTGAGCAAAGCAAGCATCTCAATAGCTTTTGAGGGTTGAGGTGGGTGCACAAGGTGGGATGTGCCAAGGGATGCTAAGAAACATCTCCAGGGATCAAGTGGAAAACACTGAATTATCTTTGCACTTTTTACTGCTGTGGATGTTTTTGTCTCTGCAGACAGCATGGGTGGAGCCGTGTTGCACGTTTGAATTTGTACCTAATCCACGTACATGTTGTGTATACAGAGGCAGAGCAGTCATTTATGTCTGTGGCCAGGATCAAAACAGCAGGTAGTGGGGGAATCCTGCTTTGTGCTAACTGCACATAGGGCTTGTTGAATCTCCAAAGCCCAAGCAAACAGAGGATTCAGTGTGTGAGATTAAAGGATATAAACTGCTGTGAAGCTGGGAGGAAATGCAGTAACATGATTATTTCTTCTCTCTGGAGGCCATGGGTCGCTGAAAACTCCCCTATAATCTCTCTGTGTCTCTCTCACTGCTTCAGATCTGGACTAAATCAAATTTTCACTTTTATTCCATAAAAGTAATATTTTTGGTAATTGAAGGTAATTGTGTCATATTTCTGTTTCTCAATTTCCAAACTACAGAAGAGGGGACTGCCATGAAGTGCTGCTACTGAAGCGATGGTGAAGGTAATTAAAATTAGAAACTACTCTGAGAAAGGAAAAGGGATATTACCTGGTTTTGCTTCCCAGGTATCTTCTAGTCCAAGATATGAAGTACTGAAGAAAAGGTTTGGGATTCCCCAGTCACACTGTGAGCAGGGAAGTCTGTGTCATGACATAGTCTCTTTCAAAGTCATTTAACATAGGCAGACCTGGCAGAAATTATTTCTTCAGCTTTTGGAGATAAGTCGTTAACCAGAGGTCGTGGCAGGTGCTATCAGTATGTGGGAGTGAGGTGTGACTGCCAAAGGACAATAGGACAGACAACCTCAGAAAGGGTCTTAGGCATAGAAGACTGGAAGGTTGTTTCTAGCCTGTCTTTCAGGGCAGCTGCCACTACAGCAACAGATAACAGGCAGTGGATCTCCAAGAGCTGTGCACACAGCTCTTGTGAAGTAAAAACTCTCAGAGAACTTTCGCAGGACTATCAGTGCAACTTGAAAAAGAAAAATATAGTTTGTGTCTCTAAAAATACTAGGGTTTAATGAAAATCCTATCCTTTTTTTCCTTTGCTGCAAACTGTAGGTAAAGCACCATAAGCTTTAAGCCTTCAAGCGCTCTCAGCATCCCTTTCTGAATAAATTGCTGGCGTTCAGGATTTTACTGCCTCAGTTTCTCCTCCCTCAGTGCTGGGAGAAAGCCATATGTGTAAATCTCTCTCCGGCTTTAGAGGCAGAACCAGTGTAGCTCTTTATGTACAAAAGGTCGAAGTGCAACATGCTTTTCATGTGCTGCAGTGATTACTAACCTCATCAAGCTCCCTTGGTGCACGCCTCAAGGGCCTCTGTTGTAAAAGGGCTGGGGCAAGCTGTCATTTCATGGTAGGAGGTGGCATTGTTTCCATGCCACCACTTTGCAAAGGAGACAAAGGGAAGCACTTAAAATGGAATGGACCCATTTCAAAAAGAAGGGCTGTGACCTTGGGCTTCTTCTATTTAATTGAACAGGGAAATATCACACCTACTTCTCACAATAGTGGTGTCAGGCAAGTGGTAGTAATTCCCAGTCTAGTGCATACAAGGGAAAGGACTTCCCAGGAGCTTGAAGCTTAACAGGTTCACACCTGTACGGTGCCTACAGCCTGGAACTGCCCAGCTGCTGGCACTTCGATTCTGAAAATCTTGGCGTTAGTTTTGAAGTCCAGCACCTGCCAGGTACACTGAGCAGGACCTCAGACCTATCTAGCTCTACTGTTTTCCAACAAAGCTGAAAATACCTGTTCTACTGACAGCCAAAGCTCTCTTTGCCTTAGCAAAAACAGCTACCTCAGGACTTGTGTGTGTGTGCTCGAGCACAGGGACCCATGGGAACTGCAGGGATGTATTCTAGGAAGGAATCGTTTGACCAGCTTTTCAGCTCTCTTGCCTTTTGTGAAACACAAATGCTGTATCAAATCCCTCTTATTCCAAAACATGCACTAAGGTGATCACTGTGAACATGTTTGGGGGCAATGGAAGGCAGGCAGTGGGGAGGGCGACATCAGGAATGGTGTCCCCTACGAGAGAGTAGCAACTAAGTTCAGCTGAGTCTCTTGCAGGCCCAAAAGCCACCTAACAGACCTGGGTAAAGCAGCCACTTGGCAAGCTGGTGATTGTGTCTCACACATATATCAGCTGTAACCCTTAGGCTACAACTTATTTCATGGTCCAAGAAATGAGATTATCCCTATGGATCAGCAATGTTTTCGGAGAAGCCTGAGACTATCAGCCTAACTCCTGGGAAGGTTTATATAAGCTGGCAATGCTCTGGCAGTCTCCAGAGTGAGCCCCACTATGGCATTTAGCAAATCTGCTTAATATCCCTGCAGATACCTTGCATCATGTCAGGGGAAAGGTTAACTGCTGCTGAAATCCAACGCATACCTTTAGGTTTATTTCACTTATTAAAATAGACTGAAGACAGGTTTTTGCTTTGTATTTGTTCCTTGTGTAGGCCTTTATTTTCATGCTGTGAACAGATAAATGTGACGGATAGGTATCTAGATGGGCTCCCATGCCAATACTTTTTAAGCCCTAATGTCATTTGGTAGTAATGCTTTTTGGTAACATTTTGCACTGCCTTGGAAGAAAATAAGATAAAGTAGAAAATATGATTCTAATCCTGGCTGTCGAGCTTTTTGACAGTCTTTATGATCTACAGGTAAGTAATTTCTTGTGCCTTGGAAAAAATTAGATTCAGAACAGGAAACTTGGGGCTAGAACTACTACTGGCTTTTAAAGAGCCAACTAAGGCTATTAAAAAAAAAAAAAACACATCAAAAAGACCCAAAATAAAAATTCAAACAAGCACCACCCCTTGCCTCATGAAGGAGATCTGTGTTCCACTGTGAAAAAATGTATCTGGTTTTAGTTGGGCTGGAGAAGTCTTGCAGTCCTTATGTTGCTGATTATGTGATTTCCAGGTATTTTGTGTTCATCTTCTCTCTGTACCAGTGAGTACCATAAGATAACAACAAAAATCATCAGTGCTTGGAACCTCAGGTTACAACATGGCGAGGTAGTAATTTAATAGTAAAGAGATGGAAACTGAATTCAAAGGTTTTGATTATCCAGCAACGCAACAGGAAAATAGATGGATGGATACTGGTGGTTCAAGACAAGCAGCAGCCCTGAGTGCTAATCCCTTCTTCTGCTTCTAGGAGTGGCTTGGGATAGCTTACTTCATTTCCCTGCAACAGCTTCACAAACTTTTAGTGAAGACTGAATGTTTTGAACAGAGAGAAAGCCAAGGATTAGTTTTTGTTGCATGCAATTCCAGCAGTACTGGACTGGCAGTCTCTAGAGCTAGTAGCTCCATGAACCCTTTTTATCTGCCTGAAGAGGGTCTGATTCAGATGGAGTTAATTTTCTTCATAACAGCCTGTAATGTCCTGTGTTTTAGACTGGTGAACAAAACGGTGTTGATAACACACCACAATGTTTTAGTTATTGCTGTGCCTGCGCAGTGTCAAGGCCTTCATCTCTCACCCTGCTAGGTTGCAAGTAGGCTAGGGTTGGGGAAGAGGGTTGAGAGGCAACACAGCTGGGACAGCTGACCCAAACTGACCAAAGACATCATACCAAATAATGTCACACTCAGCAATAAAACTGGGGGGAATTTTACTTCGGGAGGTGTTGCTTAATGACCTGCCTGAGCATCAGTCTGCAAGTGGTGAGTGACTGCCTTTGCATCACTTGATTGTTTTTGTTTTCTTTCATTTTCCTTCACTTATTAGACTGTCTTTATCTTTACCCACAAGTTTTTCTCATTTTTGCCCTTCTGATTCTTTCTCCCATCCCATTTGGCGGGGAGTGAGGGAGTGTCTGGGTGGGGGCTTAGCTGCCAGATGAGATCAACCCACCACACTGCCCTAAGCAAACCAAGGTCTGTAGTATATCAGGATTCAAGGCTCAGGCTCTGATCACAACTGTGCAATAGGATCTGCGCTGCTCAAATTTCTGATCTTAAAAGCTTTAGTGAAGAACTGTGGGCCAGGATTGTTGGTAGAAGTGGTAAAGGAAGGAAAGTGAAGCAGATTGCACACAAGCAGCAGAAGAAACTGTAGCTCGTTAATGTGCTGGCTAAATTAATTTTGAATGATCAGTCCAGCTCCAGTTTTAATATGCAGCTGCTTTAGACGGCCGAAGAGTTTAAGAAAGCCTGATATGAGTGTCCAGCTTATGTTGAGACTTAAGTGGAATTTTCCCAGATTTATAGATGTTTTCCAAATGTCCACTGTCCTATTACTTGCTGGAAGTGCCTTCAGAACCTCATAAGAATAAAAAGCTGTTACAAGCTACCACCTCTCCAACTGAGTCTAAGTTTCAAGTTGAGCTGCATTTTAGCTTAGAGCTGATGAAAAGCAACATATAAATTTGCAGGTAAGAATGCTGCTTTTGTGGTGTAGGGGACTGTTTTGTTTTTTCTGGTATTACTTGGGCTCTGAAGAAATCCAAGCTGTATGAGTGCGATGTACAAAAGAAAACATGACTGAGTTTCAAGACTGAGTTTTGCATGAGCACCCATCTAGTAATTATCTATCAACTGTCCATATCAATGAGTAATGTCTCTCATTTTCCTGTGATTTATATGAAAGAAGTGTCCTGACAAGATATTGCTACTGCACAGGGTTAAATTCAGTTGTAAAACCAACCAACCAACCAACCAAGGAGGAAAAAAAGGAGAAGGAATGTTCATAGCTCGTATGTAACCTGATACATGCAATAAAAGAAAGATATTGCAAAATTAGAACTCTTCCCAGGCTGAAAGGTTCAGGTTTATAACAGCACCAGAACACAATCTGCCTAACCCTCAGTTTTTTTACTAAGACCATGTGCCTCTGCAGTCCTCCTGTGGTCCTTCAGAGAAGCCATACTTCTGTCAAGTATTAAACATGCACTACATGGTCCCAGCTCTGGCCGTGGCTTAGTGATCCATGTGTCTGTGTGTGTGTCTGCAGCAGACAGTGCCTCCTTCTCTCAGCTTCTGAGAAGTTGTCTGAGCTTATTCTAATGGAGATCAGCATCCTCGTGCTGTAATGGTGTTCTTGCATTTGAAATGTTTTCAGAGGAATCAGTGTTAGAAAATTCGGAGCAGTTTTCATGTATTCTGCTCCTACTGACAGTTCCTGGATCACCCCCATGTACATCCAGACTGTGTTCTCTTACAGAGATGATTGTTTTCTCTAAATGCACAATCAGACCCAAAGTATACATGTAGTCACAACCAGATCCAAGGGTGTTACTAACATTAGCTCTGACCCTCTTGGCCTAAGCCAACACAGTTTAGATAGAGATTACAAATTTTACTGGACTTCAGCTGCCTGAGGCCACTGACAACAAGAACATACAGCACTGATATCTCATAAGGAGCAAAAGAGCTTGTGGTGTTGAGAGAGAAT